ATCTGAATGGTATGATCTGAGCTGTTCAAAGGTCATGGCCTTGTAGCCTGTAAGATGCAGGAAAGAGTATTGGAAGAGACAAGTGTGGCCTATAGGAGGTTCTTTTAGTACACATCATTCCTAAAACCACATCAAACTGGAAGGCAGAACTAACCATTTGACAAGACGAAGCGGTCCCGGTTGAAGAATCCCGGAGTGTGGGGTGCGTAATGCATAACATATCTCCATAACGCGACACCGATAGCAGCCATACCGATAGCACCACTAGCACACAATAACACAAGTCAACTTTTACCCAACTAAGATAGTGTCGCGATGATTATACCCAGGATGTCCGCCATTGAATTGCTGGCAGAGGTCTGCAATCAACAGCCGAAAGGTCTTCAATACCAAGTCATGGTCCTTTGACAGTTTGTGGACTATAGGCATTGCAGAGCCGTGGATATCACTGACACCGCTGCATTGAACTTCGACAGTCATGATAAGGATCGTACAGAGCTGGATAATGGGGAATCCAAACGTTCAAAGCTGGAGGGAAAGTACGTTGAAATATTGCGAGTGGTGATGCTTAATATTTCCTAATCTGGAAATCACCCAGGACCGACCCCACCCCTAGCGGTAAACAGGCAGCTCCATCCACACCAAAACAGGTATCTCGAGCCACAACTTACTAGATCAAGTACTCTTTGGGCTTGTGCAGCGTCTTTAAAGAATGGAAATTGCCCACTTTTGTGAAGTTGCACAGAAAACACATAATGACTCCGGCACTTCTAGATCAGCTAAATGGCCAGCAGGCCCTGAGAACGGTAGTGGGTGATCGGGTTCCTCTCAAAGTTTCTCATCCCAATCCATCATTGCAAGTGACTGCAGACCACCAACTAAAATCGGTCGATGCCCCTGTTCATATGCCCAAACCAGGGGAGGCATTGGTTCATATCAAAGCAACTGGAATTTGCGGGTCGGATATTCATTTCTGGAAGACCGGGCGCATTGGATCGTTGGTGTTCGAAGGCGACTGTATCATTGGCCATGAAGCCTCAGGCATCGTTCTTCAATGTGGCGAAGGGGTCAACAATTTGAAGCCAGGTAGATATTTTTGATTTCTGTTTGAAGATTTTTTGAGCTGATAATTTGATAGGTGACCGAGTTGCTGTCGAACCTGGCGTTCCCTGCGAGCACTGCTTCCTCTGTGACGTGGGACGTTATAACCTGTGCGAGGATGTCCAGTTTGCCGGCGTTTACCCTTACGAAGGGACTATCCAGCGTTACAAAAACCACCCTGCGAAGTGGCTTCACAAGCTGCCGGACAACGTCACTTTTGCGGAAGGCGCACTTCTCGAGCCACTGTCGGTGGTCATGCACGGGATCAAGTCAGCTAGCCTTTCGTTGGGCCGTGGTGTAGTGGTATGCGGTGCAGGCCCCATTGGCCTGATAGCTTTAGCTGCAGCACGTGCTTCGGGGGCACACCCAATCGTGGTGACAGATCTAGAGCCCTCTCGACTGGCTTTTGCGAAGGATTTTGTCCCTTCATGCATTACTTATGAGGTAGACCGTGAAAAGGACTCGAAGGGGAATGCAGAGGCCATTCGTGCTCTCTTCGGGCGAGGCGAATATGTTGCCCCGGAAACCATACTCGAGTGCACCGGCGTGGAAAGCAGTGTGTGCACTGCGACATACACTGTACGGCGGGGAGGCACCGTCATGGTTATTGGGGTAGGAAAAGCGATTATGAACAACCTACCCTTTATGCATATTTCTCTCGCCGAGGTTAGTGGTACTGGCATCTTGGTAGTGTGAATAGTCCTTGCTGATTCTCCTAGATTGATCTCCGGTTCATCAACCGCTACCGTGACACCTGGCCACCAGCAATTGCCTGCATAAGTGGTGGCATCTTGGATCTGAAGAAGCTTGTCTCTCATGTCTTCCCTCTTGAAAAGGCTCATGATGCGCTTCACCTTTGTGCTGACACTCGAAACGGTAGTATCAAGGTGTTGGTGGTCGATGAACAGGAGGCTTCATTATAGATGTGAAAATTGCTTTCGATCATTCCGAATTTGAGTGCTGCTGGGCTAGGTACTCCATTGCGACAGTCGCGCCTAGTGTTGTCTAAGGGAGGAGAATGGCAAACCGAAGTAAATGATGTTGAACAATACAAGGCTTGATTTGATACTATATACCAATTCAAGCCAAACACAATGCCGGCACCATCGAACCCCCCATCTTTACCATTGTATTCCCTCAAAATGATGACTGGCAAAAAATCGATTCGATGACAGGAATTGGGTCCTTGGAAGAGTGAGCGCCAGGGCTCAAGAATGTGTTGTGTCCGGTGCAATCAGGGCCGCTATACTACGGTTAGTGAGAGTCGGCTTGCTCAATTGTCACCGGACTTACGTGAAGAGACGACATGGCTTTTTCAAAGACACAGTAAGAACGTCTCTGTGACTCGTTAGTCTCAGCCGAAGCATGGTTGCTGGGAATAGATCTCACTCTTCCTCGATCGCATGGCAATCATTCAATGGCACATCAATACCGCGGCTCTTGTCGGCTGTTTCAATGCCCACCTGCATGGTCTTGTTAGCAATCGAGCGTAGACGAAAGGAAGAACATGCGTACAATGGTTCTTTTGGGGTCCTTGGATGCCGATACCAAGAGAAGCATGAAGCTTAGAAGGGAGAGCTGTTTGAGACCGTACATGACGCAGATGACAAGCAGAGATCCAATAATACTAGATCAAAGGGTATAAGATACTTAGCAGTGCCTGGAAGTCTAACACAGAAGGTCGATAACTCTTTCCTGCAAGGAGATGCCATCTGTCTTTTCCCTTCCGATTCTATCCCTTGCGTTTGTTTCTCCTGCAAGTGCCAGGAGTTATGGCCAACTGCATTTTAAGCTCACACCCCTTTCTTTGCAGGGATTTAACCTGTACAGAGTACAGGGTACGGAGAGTACGGAGCACGCAGTACGCAGTACTCTATAACGAGGATTAGCCCCGGAGCATGTGACTGCTGATTTAATCTGTACGGAGTGCCCATGCCCAGGTGCATCATAGGTTGGGATCGAGGTGCAGTGTCAATTAATGAGAACCCTTGAATCTTGGGGGATTGTAAATTGTATAGATATTCAGAGAAGTCACAGCTAATATAGCCAATAACATGAGGGTTGAATAAAGATATCCTTGTCCAAAACATTTGAAGACACCTGAGGTGACTGAGGATCCAAGAAGTGGCCGATGTCTCCTGTCCACGTCTCCCCACTTTACCTTCACCTTCAACTTCAAGACTTTTTTCCCCTTTACATTTCCTCGATTACTCTTGTATTCATAATCTGGAATTGATGACTTGATGACTTGATGGCTCGATGACTTGAGAATTTGATACTTTGGTAATTCAATTTAATTCCTTCGCATGTCTCGCATTACGACATGAACGACCTCTCCCAACCCGATGCGACTCCATCCAATTCCAACGATGTTGCATTTGCTTCTCCATTGGGCGCTACCAGCTGGGGCGATGAATTCTCCCATGATCCAGGCTTCTTAGCGTCGCAGGAGGAGCTACGATGCATGCTTTTCAATATCGCTCAGTCTGCAGCTCCGACCCGAGCTCCGAGTCCAGATACCCAGGAACCAGATGCCATACAATTGCGCGACAGGGAGCAAACATCAACGCGTCCAGTGCTATCCAATATTCGTCGCATTGAGTACTTGAAGAACTATGTTGGACAGGTGGCACCATGGGTAAGTGACATTGCCTGCGATATTCTTAATAATCGCTAATCCCCGACCGCAGCTCGATATGTTCGATTCGCAATGTACCTTTCGAGTACAGATTCCCGCACTGGCCCGATCATTCCCCGCCCTACTGAATGCGATTCTCGCGATATCCGCCCGACAAATGGAAAGGAAGGAGGGGATTCAAGACTCATTTGACAGCCTGGAGCTTTACCAGGAAGCGATTCGTCTGCTGAGCCCACTGTTGCAAATGCACGATCCCAAAGTTGTCGCCGCCTGCGTATTACTCTGCTGTCTTGAAATGATGTCTGCGCGCGCGCAGGATTGGCACCGTCATTTGGAGGGGTGTGCGGCACTTTTTGAAGCCTTCGAAATGAATGGGTTTAGCAGCGGCCTTCTACAAGCCGTGTTTTGGTGCTACGCACGCATGGGTACGAGTCCACATTCATGGTCAAATTATAAAGGAGTATCACTGATTCAGAATAACTAGACCTGTGTGGAGCTTTGATCTCTGATGGGACACAGAGTACTCTTCTTCGGCCTAGCAAATGGCTCGCACCGGGATGCCACGAGGACGATGCTGCACAGCTCTTCGAAGCTGCGCGGTCTCCGGACATGCACGCCAACTATGCCGTATACCTATGTGCAAAGTCGTGTGAACTCGTCGCTGATCGTACTCAGTTTCTGGAGCTGGGCGTTCAGAATGACTGCACTGGAGAGGCCTTCAATCACCGCTGGCTACGACTCTGGAATGATTTGCAGCACTGGCTTGACAACCGACCGCCGGAGTTGTTACCAATCCACACAACAACCACCAAACCATTCCCTCGTGTCCTTTTTCTGCAATGGGCTGCTATATCCTCGAACCAACTATACCACACAGCATGTATTTTGCTGCTAAACTTAATGCCCAAATTGATCAAGCTGCAGCCAACACCTGCAATGTCTGCGCTGTGGCATGCGAGGCGCATTTGTGGGATTTCGCTCGCCAATCCGCATCACGGATGTTTGAACAACGCCATCCAGCCGCTATGGATTGCGGGGCGGCTGTTCAGCCATGTATCTGAACACGCCATTATAATCGATCTGATTCAGCATATTGAAGCCGAGACTGGATGGGGTGCCTGCTGGCGCATCCGTGACCTGGAACTCGCCTGGGGATATCGGGTCTCGCGCTCAGACCGGACTATTGATGGACAGCGGTTTCCCGTAACAGGGTGAGTATCGCTATCAACTCCTCGAATAATCGCACCAACGATATCATTTACTATGTCTCATCAAGAAGACACCACTCGGCTCGCAGGCTCTGCAAGCTGTTGTTTGCGTCCCACCCGGTCACCGTACGTATGCGGTCCAATCCACGTACAACTTCATGTTGTTGTGATTCATGTGTCATCCGGCGAGCTGCCAGCAGAAAGGATGCTAGGAGACATGGATCCCAGCACTCCCGACTATCATTGTGGAGAGAAATACTGCATATCCGCTGCGCATGCCACAATGGCGACATGGCAACCGAATGGAAGTCAGCGATGCGTGCAGTGCGAGGTCGATTGTGTAGTAAGATCAACATGGCTGTATGGTATAGCTGGTTGCCAAACAACCCTGCTCCATTGGCAAATAGAACAACCGGGAAACTTCTTTCTGGTCCAGCTAACTGATCATCCATCTCCAATTCCAGCATGGGTTGAAATTCCCGTGGCCGCTCACGATACCATTGTTGCAGTTCTTCCACCAATTGACTCCATATATGGAGGGGTGGTAGATGAGGAGAAGCCTCTTCGTTGTGTACAAATTGGATCGCTCTCGCACAGAGCCATAGAGGGCGGTATGCGTAGAAGAAGACCACCTCAAATGGATCAGCCACAATATCGACTTCTGTGAAGTATGGGAACGACAGGGGAAGCGGCACGCGCATGTCGCTATCGGTCGCCAACGCTGTCGCAAGATCTGTGGTGCGCGAACAAATCAGTCAATAGTGATCAAAACGAGATATTTTAATTTGGACCTCATACAAAGCCTGATAAAGAGCCAATATATCGCGGAATCAATATCTCTGCGCGCGGCGTGGGAAGTTAGGGCCCTCATGAGGTCATGATCGCACTCTCTTTCGGTGTTCCACGTAGCAGAAATATTCGAGATAGAATGTTTCACATGATCTATAACGCTTAGCAGTGCGACGTATGTGAGATCAGTCTGCATATTTGCATCGAACTGTCGAGTGCATGTATTTCGCTTCTCTCCGGGTGGCTTTTGTGGATGAAGCAGGTGGAAAGAAGTTTCGGACAGTTCAAGAATGGCGTTCCAGATAGGCGATGAGCCCAGCGCAACCTGAAGACCTTGGATTCCGAATGATTGACCAAGATCACATATATCCAACTACTGCAGTCAGCACTATGCAGCCCTTGGCGGTTTCGAAGAGCTCACCCAGCAGGCTACCTTATAACGATAATGCCGTAGCAGGTCTTGTATTTCGGTAGATGAGCGTGTCTCAACACTTGATCCCGATGGTTGTTGAATACTTTGCAAAGTCAAGGGCAATTGATTCAGCCGATTTGATGATATCATTGGAGTCTTTAAGACACCTTGGGTTGGTGATAGCCCTAGATCGGGTTCATTCATACCAAGAGCCAACAACCCCGCCACCGCCGATTCATCCTTGTCATTGAGGATTCTATAATTCTCGTCGTCCGCGGTATGGGGAGTAGACTTCGGCCAGAATGGCATGTCTTCGTGCCTGCCATTGCTAGGTGTGTTAAGGTCAGCTTGCTGTGGCTGTCGAGTCGCATCAATGAGAGACGATGCTTCGTCCAGTGTACGATCTTCAATTGGATCACAATCTTTTGAGGTCTTTTCAGTGACGAACTATATCATGTATATATGTGGATCAGGTCTCTGCCTTGCAATCGTCACCGAAAAACCTACTTGAATCGCATCATAGCCGGCAGATTGTGTTTCGACCTCTAACGCTTGAACAGTGTGTGCATTCTTCGCCAAAAACGTCAACTGCGGACCGTATTGGCATCGAAAGTTCCGGCCAATGCAGTTACGACATCGCGGTTTACCTTCATCGCCTGAATGCCCATTAGGCTTGAACGTTCCACAGATCCAGAAAAACATACATTTTCGCCGACGAACCCGACATCGCATGCACCCAGTGCGACATCGGGTCAATCGAGTTTGTTTTTGTCGGTTCATCGCAGCATATTCGAAGACTCCAGGGCTGTGGGGGAGACATCGAGAGGAGACTTGCGGGTGTCCAAACGGGAAGGTGCCAAGCATCCAAATTAGGAAGGCGTAAGCACCATCACCTGACTACCTACATATCCATGGACCCATGGACGGATCACCTGACATGCTTTGTCATTTACACAGGAGCAGTCAAAGCTGACTGTCAATAATAAGCCAACTTGCAACAGGAAATTAATAGGCTGGATAGTTAACACTCGGCGAAACTACGGTTTCTTCTCTGTGAGACCTCGACTCCTCTTCCACTCATCCACAATTCCAGCATACACCGAAGGCCTGTACACCCCAGTCAGCTCGGTGTAGAGCCCACCTCCAAGTCGGTGGGGATTCAGTCCCAAATCGCGCAGGAGCATATCATTGTACTAATTCAACAGTTAGATCACCACCCTCGTGATTTGGCGCAACAGACATACCTGAATGGCCTCAACTTCAAGGCCAGTTCCCGTCAATGAGCCCAGGACTACGTCCTTCGAGATAACATTCTCCATGGCCTCCAGCGAAAGTTTTCCAAGCGAAAGGGCCTGATTTGGCGTGGAATTAATTTCCACGGGGGAGTCGAGTCCTCCTGTCAGAAATGCCGCCACCCAAAGAGCTTGAACCTCTGCAACAACAGCAATAGTAGACGATAAAACAACACCGAGCGTTGCAAAGGAACGGTCGCCTCGTGCGACTAATTCGGGTGCAACCATTCGGCGGAACAGGCGATAGGGTATCAGCTTGTGAGATTCAGCCCATGAGGGAGGGCTCCGATCTGTGAGGGCACATCTCGTCGCATTCAAAGTCTTCCTGACCATGACCTCAGACTGTCGGTCTAGATCTTCCCAGTGTAAGATGCGGTCATTTATGGTTGTTTTCAGTGGCCCATTTATTCTTTCAGGTGTTTCTGCTGGGATTTCACGATTATCACGAATATCCTCGTCCTGTGAGTTCACCAGGGCCGCCAGACCCAGTTCGAGACGGAGACTTGCAGGTTCAAACCAAATCGGGACTATTGGCTTATATCCGGTCGCGTGGACAACCAAATCAACTTCAGCAATACAATTGCTGTCTGCCAAGTGCACCGAAGCTTTTGTGGATGAATCCGTGGAACTCTCCGGCCTGGTAGCTATGATATCGGTGATGGTTGATCGGTACACGTTGACATGGGGCAATCTAATTGTTTCCCAAAGGTCTCCCTGGTTTGCGATACCAATACCGGATGCGCACGAGACAACACTGGAATTCATCAACCACTGCGTATTCCAAATGACATCTCATTGGACTTACCTGTTCTCTGGGCGAAGCTTTTCCATCTTCGGGTCTGAACCATATTGCGCCGTGTCCTCCAAGCCTTTATCAATCGATCGCCAGAGCCAACGAATCCACCATCGGCCTATTGGGTTACCATGGAATAGCCGCGCTAGCCATGAGCCCTCCCAGTGAAGACCCCCGGAGGGTCTAAGAGACAGACGTTTTGGGGTCTCGTAGCAGCACGGGGTGAGATAGGTGAGTAGTCGGCTGCTGGCAGCCTTGTCGCTTGCAACGGTGTCACCATTTGGGAGGGTAGACATTGGGGGCACCATCCACGCAGGCCCCACACCTCGGTCACGGATGATCCAATGTACTTGCACCAGTTCTTTCTGTGTAGACTGGAGGTGCAACCTTGAGTCGTTGCGATGTAGAGTCGCAAAGAAGTGCACTAGATCAAAGGATGATTTTGCACCGCCATAAATAGCAACCGATCGCAGTTGTGGGTAAGTGGAATTTTTGACTGGAATGCTAACAGTCTCGGGCTCGGGTGGTTTGAGTGGCTGATATCCCAGGTGTTCTCGAGCCCAGTCTCCAACATCCTTGGCATGGATGACTGGAGCAGAGTTATAGGAGACCGTTGATGGCCCCGTTGTGTCTGGCATGTTGGGTATTGAGGTTAGTCCTGTAGCCAGGATCAGTTTGTCACAGATAATGGTGATCCGTCGACCCGGGGCTGAGGACACGCTGATGTTGAGCTTCCACTCTTTGGTTTCGAGGCGACTGATGTTGTCGACCTAGAGATTCTTCAGAAATTTTACATTTCTAGAACAAAGTGGGAGTATCTTACCGTCCAGTTCAATCGTATGTGTTTTTCAAGCTGCCATTTCTCGACCCATGCACGGAGATAGCGGTTGATCTTCCAACCTGCAATGAACTGATTATGCGCATCATCGGTATGCTCCTCTGGAACAACGTCCGAAAGAGGCAGGTCACTGAATTCATAAAGCCCATATGAGTTCTGACTCAACAGATTTGGGTAAAGGCGCTCCTCGGCCCAGGTACCCCCAATATCCGAGGCAGAGTCGATCACTAGAAGGCGACTTTCGGATGAGGCTGCTGGGGAAGCATTGATGATCCCAGTAAAACAGGTAGGAATTTCCGCGATTTCATCGGTGTCGGTGCTTTTGGTATTTTCGTCGGATGCCACAAGTTGTAGATACGTCTTGGCTGCGATGAGACCATAAAGACCTAAATAAGTTAGCCAACGTCTAAATTGGTCAACTGCTACCAACCTGCTCCGATGATCACGACTCGTTCCATGACTAAAATGATTAAAGAGGGAAAGGAAAAAGAAGAGAGGGGGGGAACAGTTTTTAATTCTCAAGTGCACAATGAAAAAGAACAATCCGAAGGAATAGCTCCGGGATGCGAGGATTCTGATATTGTTCCTGTGGAGTTACCACAACAATGGGAATTCCCTCTATTAAATATCAATTGGACATGTTAGACACAACTTGTAATGGAATATGTAACTATATATAATATGATACAATGATCAATATTACTAAAACACTTTTGACTCGGATGTGTAGCCGTTGTTATGGGAAATGCATGGGAAATGATAAATTATATTCCCGTCTATACAATGCCCTAAGAAATCCCAATTCTCTGTCCATTAGATCGTCTCATGCATGGTATTTCGATTCATGTGAAATGTATCGATGATCCTTTCTTCTGCCACTTTGAAATCCATTCCTTGCGCTTTGTCTTTGATCCTTTCCCGGCTATCCAACACCCCGTTCATAACGTCAATCCACTTAATTTGCGTTCGGGCCGGGACAGAGCGTGGAAGAGGAGCAGGAACGTCAGCGATTGAAACAGGGAGCAATGTACCTTCTTCCTTTCTCACAATGCCATCCACGATAACGGTTTCGACGTCCCTCTCACTGGAATGCAGTACAATAGCTGAAATTGGATCCTCTTGGGCCACCGCCAACATTGACGGACTCTTTGTATTAAAGATAATCAAATCGGCTTTGGCTCCAACCTTTATCTGGCCAATTTGGCCAGCCATTCCCATTGACCGAGCACCACCAATCGTACCCAGATTGAAAACATCCTCCACTAGAGGTCCAACATGTCGGCTCCACTTTCCTTCCTTCTCCAGTCTGTGTGAGCGCTCGGTTCTGGCATGCTGAAGTAAAAGACGCATTTGGCCAGGCATATAGCCGGAACCCCAGCTGTGACAATCCACCCCCAGACTAGAATGTGATTGGAATTCAGGCATCAACGCCACGGGTGGATATCCCATTTGGAGCTCTGTGTTTGGCGTTGAAGAAACAGAGGCACCGTGCGTGGCCAACAGTCCAGCATCACCATTCTTTGGAAAATTGGCATGCGAGATAAGAATATCTGGACCAAGTAAACCGGCGTTGTTGAGAAGTTGCAAAGCAGAAGGAGCATCACCAAAGGCTTTCCCTGCTGCACCGTGTGATGTGATGATCTTTGCGTCCATTGATCGAAGCTCAGTGTAGAGTTCCCGTAATTGACCGGTAGGCAAATAGAGATTATCTACAGCGAAGCCAAGATGAACTCTACCATCAGCAAAGGGAGCAATCTCTGCAAGTTCCTTCCAGGCATGGAGTGCAGACTCAGGGGTGTAGTCATCTGTTACATTCAGAGAATCTTCTTCTAAGATCGTCCTCGGGACACATTGACAGTACACAGCCCGCAGACCAGAGGTTGCCAAGGCATTGATCAAAGTTGGTGCTGGGAAATTCAGTATCACTTAAGATAAAAGCAAAGGGGGTGGACTTCTTACGGTACTCGACGCCAAGATTGAGACTTGAATGATCGACCACTGATGTTGTGCCAGCATCGACAGCTTCCATTGCTCCACTCAACTCACCCCAAAAGGCATCCTCGGGTGAATAGAGTGATCCAATGAAATTTCCGGATGGTAGGTATTCCAGCAGAGTATGGTTACCATGTTGGCCTTTCAACTGGGTTTGCCATAGGTGATGGTGGGTATTGATGAAGCCGGGTGACACTAATTTACCATCACAGTTGATGACTTTGACGCTTTGATCATCCACGTCGATATTTTCCTCAATTTTGAGAATGGAGTTTCCACTTATTAAGAGATCGAGCCGACGTGAAACCACCCTCTCATTGGCTTCGTGTAGTAAAAGAGTCCCTCCCTGTAGAAGAATCTTGGAAGACTCGGTCATTCTGTCTGGAAATGAAATTTGGGGAGTGGAAGGAATTATATGACAATCTAATTCCCACATCTTCATATCCACATATGGATAGTTATATATATTTATATAAAATGATCGGCATTATCTCAAAGCCGAGGAGCCCGAGTGAACGGAGTTAATAATTAAACTCCGCCTCCAGAGCGAGATGTGAGGTGAATGAAGTCTTTGCCGGTATCAGATCAAGACATTTCGGGCTTTCGGGCCTGGATGGAAAGTCAATCGAGTTTCAGAAAAAAACGAAAACAGAAAACATGTATAAAATAGTGACACTTGACAGCAAGGAAAGGTTTTGGATAGCGATCGGATACCCGCGAAAAGTCCATGGATATGATATATGAAGCATACTTAGGCAAAAAAAACCAAGGCTAGGCCCCTTAAGTGATCGATCTGCTCCACTAAATTGCAATTGGGCTTCAAGAATGTCAATGGCGGCGTGTTGTTGTCGAGCTTGGGAAGCCTATAGAGCACTGCCGCAGAATCCCTCCTCCTCCATGTGCACATTTGCTCTGTGTTCCAACAACGTGTGAATAATTCCGGTATTTCCACCTCACGAAGCTGCTGGAAGGGCAGCGTGATAGTAGCCACCGGCAGCTGCCTGGAGAGCACAGCCATAGTATCCCCCTGTGATATTAATATCTACGCCGTGATCAGTGAGCACATGAAGTCTTTCTTTCACAAAGTAGCTTATAGAGGCCCATGGAAGAGGCCATCCCAGATATTGACATCTGCGCCGTGCTCTCACAAGATGCGCTCAACCTCTGTATGACCCTCTAGAGTGGCAACTGCAAGCGCCGATCCAAACATGCCACCGACAGAGTTAACATTGGTAGCTGTGTCGAGAATCATATGTACCATGGAGTATAATCCCAACTCCGCGGCATAATATAATGGGCTTCCAAAACTATTTCCATCTTCACCTGAGCGATAGATAAATAGCTGATGGTGAAAAGGGACGTTGTATTAATCCAAAATCTGCCGATCAGAGCCTGCATTAACCGCGATGAGAGATGGTAAAAGTTCACATCAGATCTGAGGGACGTACATTCATGTGGATTGGGTGGTTGTTTAACAAGAGACCCGATGCGAGAACATGGCGGACCAACGTCTGCATATCATACTCCACTTGTGGCCCCGGGATCCATGAAGAGAAATCGCCCGAGTAACCAGATACTGCAGCTCAGTCTGAATCAGTTGCTCCATGCGGCTGGCAACCATGATATTAACCCTCATACCTCCTGCCGTTAATTACCTCACAAATGCTCTGCCATATAATCCCCCAAGATCATCCAGTCCGGAATGTCCGGCATTGCTGCCCCCATTATATCACCACCACCTCTCGTTTGAAATGGCCACTCAGGCAAAGGGCCTTCGTGGATGGGTTCGGGTATTTCGTCAAGATTTGGAAGAGTTGGGGTCAAGCGCTCTCTCTGGTCATTCTTGTTTTGCTGACCTACCCGTTGTGGCCTTGACGACATTCTGCTTTGTGCAGGATGCCCTTCATTTGCTTGGGTTTGGCTGTTTTGGGGGATAGCCAAATCCCCGAAGCTCATTGCCACATCTCCTCCTGATGAGCAGCCAAAATCGAGGATTTCCCACATCAGACCCTCATCTTCTGCGGACATTCTAGGCATATTCGAAGGGGTTGGCATTTTAGATAAAGCGCCCGAGAAACCCTCTTGATTATAATAGAGTGACCCATAATTCTGATGGCGAGCGGCAAGTTCATTCACTTTGTTGACCTTGATAGAGAAGATTGTCAGCACTTTAATTCCATATTGTACTAGCACACTTACCAGAACGCTCATATTTTCCCAATACACAGACAGCTCCGTCATAAAGTCAACAAGAATTCGAAATTCTTTGTTAAGCAGAAGAGCAATTTGCGGATTTTTGCTTCCAGTGTGCTCGAGTTGAATTGTTGCTGCGATCGCAGCCAAATATCCCAGAAACGGATCGCAGGTCTCAAAGTTGACCTCTGACATTTCCTTTATGAATCGAACTATCCATCGGGAGTGGAGCAGTGATGTCTCAAACGACTTTTGCAGAAATGTTGCGGACAGATTGCCGTTAAAGTTGCGAAGCTTGGTCATGATCACAAATGGGTGGTGCAGCAGGCCCTGGATGGAATGAAAAAGGAATTGAACACACACCCAAGTCGAGAGGTATGTACGTGGCTGTGGGGTTTCTCGGGCGCGGCTTTTGAAATCCACGTTTATATATCGATGGGTATCTGCAAAATGTGTTTCAAATTGTAACCATTCTGACTCGAGGATTGCGAGAGCTGATCCGGTTTGCCAGGGAGGTAGCGAACTGTCGGCAAAGGGCTCAAAGACATACTCCGTCGCTTTTCCCCATAAAGAATACAGTCTCAAAAGACATACGAGAATGCCATGATCAACTTTCTGCCCTTGTTTACCAGGACCATCATGCAAAGACCCGTAGGCTAGTGACCTATTATCACCAGAAAGTGCATCTGTCTGGCGGGCAGGAAATGGAAGTGTGAACTGCTTGTCTGAGAGGGACAGTGAATAATTTCGGGAAGCACTATAGGTGCGATCGAGCATAAAAAAGGCCCAAGTAATGCGCTTTCTCGTTTCGATCTCCGGGTCATTCGAGATATATGAGCCCTTTTCTTTGTTCAGCCCTACAGATTGAATCGCACGCAATCCAAGGGAAACAGACGCATACCCGCGATGCGCTTTTCCGTCAGCAAAATCTAGCTGAGCCATGAGAAATGTGCCCTGGAGAAACGAAAGACCCATATTGCCGTCTTTGTATTGATTTGACAACAGGTCCCAAGCTTTTTCCGCGAATCCTTTCACATCGGGTGGATTATCGTGTAAAGGACCACGAGATCGTCGAGGCAGACGGGAAGTGAGGGCCACTAATGGGAATGCGACTTCTGGAGGCAATGTGCTGGTATGTCTCAACAACCACCTTTTTGAAAAAGGACAATATGGCTGGTCATGAAAGTAGGTAAGGTAAGTTTGTACTTCCTGCTCGATAAATGCAACTGGAAGACCTCTTCTGTTTCGTTTTGATCAGTATGTTTGTGATTCTCAATGAAGGAAAAAGCCAAATATACTCTTGAGCGTGCAGCGGGTGATTCTCTGAGCAATCCATTATTTCGAAGTCGTCATAAGAAGCCTCTTGCAGCCCACGACCATCATTGAGGTGATTATCACTTGATACTTCTCGTAATGGATTAGACCTTGGCAATCCTTCTCTGTGAGATTTGGAAAAAAAAAGCTTTGGATTAGCGATTTCTGGGGCATAGATTTGAAGTCTATTGCATACTGAAGTAAAAGTGCCATCATATCCAGTCTTTCTTCGATGCGCTGCAGCCTCCCAGAGCTCGAGGTATCCCCTTGGGTCTGATAAATTCAGCATAGTCCGAAATTCACACCCAATCCAACGGCCCAACTAGGACAGAAAGCATGAATACCTCATTGGTGCTGTGTTGTGTTTCCTGGCTCTGCACATGAGCCGAAACCGACTGGCTCCTTACACGGGATGCTTGCGGTCCGTATGAGCAGCGTTGCCCTAGCCTGTGACACAGCGAGCATGTCGGTTTCTCGCCTGGGCATCGTGCCTTCTTCCGACTATCCCGACCACATATTAGAAAACGGCACATATACTCCGTACACCCTGGCGATGCTCGGAATTTTGTTTCTTGATCGGACTTGGCACCTACCGACAAGGACCACAAGCTTGCCGGGTTCGCTTTAAAGAAACCTTGTGTATAGTGTAGTTATCGCCCATTGAGCTCATCATAGGCCAATTGGCCTTTAAAAAACAAAGTCTTATCTGTTTCTCGCCGATCGAGGCAGTTGGAAGATGTTGGCCAAGTGGTCCCGTGCGGGGGTCGGTGAAAATCCGAATCTCTCACTTTCCAGTTTCCCACATCAACTCTACAATTTACACCATACATTGTTTCAATTCTGTTATTCAACCCTCATACAATTTTATATTCGGAATGCTATTTTCTCAAAAGAACTTTTCCAGGTTGCATCTGCAGAGAAGAAGAGAGCACATTATGAAAAGTCATAAGCCGGTCATGTGATCGGCTGGAATCTTATGCGGGGGAACCTTTGGAAGTTCTTATATGGTGGAGACAAGTTGAACATGGTATTATCATGGTATTATCCTTCAGCCTATTCGTCCGAAAATGACATGATATCTATTTTGTGACCAAATTAGGTAAATATAAGGATCCAAATGTGGGGTTGGGCTGTAAAACCTCGTAATAGTGATATACTACAGGGTACATAGTAACCTTTTATCTTCATACTCTCCGAACATACTTTGTATACTTCGTATACTTTCTCTTCTTGATTCCACAAGCCCGGCAGGGATACCGATCACCCGCGTGGCGTTCACTCAGCGCGGTAATTTCACCCGTCCACCGGTTCCCCTCTGATCTTCATGGTCTAGCACGGTCTATCGGGTGTTAAAAACAGGTCGGGCGATGCACGGCTTACCCTCCGCTCCGATCCTGTGATCGGTCGAAAGCTGTAGATTGCATATCCTCACGGGGAAGTATGGACTCATGATCCTGGTAGCTGTAACTGGGATCCAGATCCTCTATGCCTATATTAAGGACCTTACGTTCCGCCCTAGATGATAGAATTCACAGAGTTTCAAGACAATAAACATTAATTCATCTTCTTGCCTAACCTTGTCTTTTGACCTTCCACTATGTCCGCCGACGAGAATCCCCCATCTGACCCTCTCCCTGCCTCGTGGTATTCTTCGCAAGATATACATGAACTTGAGCGACGCGCCATATTCAGTCGTAAATGGCTTCTGACTACACACAAGCTACGTTTCCCCAAAACAGGCGACTGGCTCCGATATGAAATCGCCGGGTACGCATTTATCCTGGTGAAAGATCGCGAGGGCAATATCAATGCTTTCCACAACATCTGTCGACACCGTGCATTCCCCGTGGTTACCGAAGAGGGGGGCACTTCCCGGATTTTCTCTTGTCAATATCACGGATGGTCCTACGGCCTTAATGGCAAACTTGCCAAAGCACCCGGGTATCAAGAGCTGGAAGGGTTCGACAAGAGCAAGAACGGTCTTCTTCCGATCCACGTTCATATTGATGTCAACGGGTTTGTCTGGCTCAATTTAGATGCCAGCGAGAACCCTGAGATTTCGTGGGAAGATGCCTTTCAAGGAATCGACTTAAAGCCACGTTTCAAAGAGTTTAATTTTGAGGACTATAACTTCGACCACGCCTGGGAGATGAGTGGAGATTACAACTGGAAGATCCTGGCAGACAATTACAATGAATTCTACACTCCCTCGACTTCCAATCTGGGCCCCTACGCCTTGGATACCAAAGACGGCAAATCCACACCCGAGGAAGTTGCAAATGTGTTGAAGACTTGCAGCACATACTATTTCCCCAATGCTGCTATGACCGTCTTGTAAGTGAAATTGTGTTCCAATGTAACCCGATTGACGCTAATTGGGTACGCAGGCCGCAGTTCTTCTTCATGCAGCGACTCGTACCTACGAGCCCCACCACATGCTCGATGCGCTATGAAGTCTATCGCAACAAGAATTCTAGCGATGGCGAGTTTGAAACCATCAACCAAATATACAAGAGTAAGATGTCTGAAAACAAAGATCTCTGTGTCGAAACACAAAAGAATCTCAACACAGGGGCCTCTGCGAATAGCCAACTCAACCCCACGGAAGAAAGGCCGGTCGACTTCCGAACTGTCATCCGTGGGCTACTCGCAGAGCACCATAAGCGGGAAGAGGATGCAGGGGAGCAAATTTGGCCTGCACGACAAAGACTCCCCAAGGAGGAGGCAGTGAGCAAAGAAGATATGGAGTTTTGCTCCAAGCTTACAAACAATGATGCATCAGCTTTGACTGCGGGAGGTTGTTGTGGAGGAGGATGTGGAGGTGGACCTCCCACCATAGCAGCAACGGCACCTGAGACTATGGTGGTTTAATGATTTTCATGATAGCGATTTTGGTAGTTAATTCTTTTAGCCTTTGATTTGATTTTATTATGAAGATGACATGTTACATGCAACCATGGATCCATACCAGTCTTTGATCATGAGACAGGTACTACTCCGTATAAGCATCAAAGAAGGTCATATGAACACTTTTGATTTCTGCAGGATTCACACGTCCATGGGTTACTATAAAAAGATATTGGACCAATTATATATAGCAATCGTTAGTATCATACTTTTCTGGATTTTCAGCCAGACCCTATTTGGAAGAGCCTAAGTAAAACAGTACGGAGTACGGGGTACTCCATACATAGTAGATAAATGGAGAAGAGGGGATCATTTACCCATTTTCAGTATAAATTTCATTTTCAGATATCCCACGTACAAAAGTACTCCGTATACCTAGGTACTCCATGCACATCGGATTCTAGATTAGGTCGGGTGGACCTATGAGGGGGTTTCTCCGATTTACCCCAAAGACCAAGGTCTCCTGGCGTTTTGATGCATTATCTCGGTTTATCTTTTATCTTATTATCTCTCCAGGGCTAAATATTCCCTATATTTCCCCTCTATGTTCCCCCTCTTTTAATCCGGTGACCTCGGGACAATCTTGACTATCTCATCTATCTCATATCTCAACTATCTCAGCTATTTCATCTATCTCGACTATCTCAACTATCTCAACTATCTAATCTATCTAACCAGTCCGCCGCTATACCCCGCTAAATCCCATCCCCTCCCCCTTTTTTTTATTATTATTATTTTCCCTTACAATGATGCCACGAGAGAGCGCTCGTGGAAGGCTACGTTCCCACGAGGCCTGTCTCAACTGCAGGTATGGTAATATACTTGTCTATCCGTAGGTGAAACTAATCTCCATATAGAAGAAAAAAGACCCGATGTCCGGCCGAGAAACCGTCCTGCTCAAGCTGTGTCCGCCTGAATCAAACATGCCTTTATACCACAATACCTAGAGGGTCTCGGGGAGGACAGTCTGTATGTGCTGGCTTGTGGCTGTCAGTGGCCAATCATTGACTTTCTTTTTTTTCTTCCCCTTTTCTACAGGACGATAGGCTAGCATTCCTTGAAGAGAAGGTCAACCTTATCCTAAGTGGCAGATCAACTCAAACAATTCCATCAGAGAAGCCGCAAGAGTCAGGAAAAGGAACCTCAGAAACATGCTATCCTCTCACAACACGTCCACCATCCATCGAACCGAGCACAGTCAATGACCCATTCTTCCTCGGGTTTGGCTATGAGGACTCAAGCTCTCAACCGTCATCATCGGCTATCGCTAAAGCTATTGACCTTTACTTTGAATACTGCCATCGACAACCAATTTGGTGTTTTGACCGTGAAGACGTCTCAGACCCAAGTTATCTGTCAGAGGAGCTCGTTTGTTGCCTGCTAGCCCTGACCTCACGGTTCTCAAGAGACCGTGACCATTTGCAACATTATGGGGATAGTGCAAGAAGCCTGGTCATGCTTCGTATGGCCAATGGCACAGTGGAGCTTGAAACCATTGAGAGTCTCTGTCTGCTCTCTTATTCTTCGTTTCTAGGCATGATCCTCCACCAAGTGAAGTGGATTTCAAACGCTGACTTTTATTGTAGACGGGGATATACACCTTGGTCGCTTCCATCTCGGTCTTGCTCTACACCTTTGCCGGTCAGCCACGTTGGATCTTGAATCGAGTCATGCCGGCGAAGGGCCCATGACTGAGCGAAAAAAGCGTCTATTTTGGAGTCTCCAATGTCTGGAGCAGTCTTACGGGCAGCAAAATGGGTTTCTCTGTATCCCATCAGAGGTCATGCGCACCTTCTATATTGCCTCTAGTAGCGACCGCGCAAAGCAAGATGGGACGGAACCGAAACCCCCACCGCTGCCGATAGATGATCTTGGTTGCTCGAAATCATCCGATCTAGGGATCTGGAGCCTAGCAGTCCACTTTGGCTGGGTCTGGAGCAGAGTGCGAACATACGTCTCCGATTGTGCTCGGAATAGGCTCAAAGAACCCTGGCGACACGATTCCATGTACGCCATGGTGCTCTCCGACCTTACAGAAATCGAGAACAAGCTTTCCCAGTGTCATCGTTATGACTCGGTCAAATTTTACGAGCGAACAGCCGAAGAGTTGAGATCAAGCCGAAACTACTGGACCCCATGGCTGAAGCTACAGTTCACTTACCATTGCATTTTGACGGTTCTGAACCATCCCTTCCTCTACATTGTGGCATCACAATACAACGACAATTTAGCAATCCCAAACGCTTTCTGGAGACGGTCATCGGAATTGGTCTTATTACACGCTACCTGGCTTGTCCGCATGATAGACATGGTATCGGAGAAAAAGATGCGCCTGATCGATCCTTTCTTTGGACACGCTGCCGCCATTGCAGCCACGGTGCACCTATACTACTGCTGTGCTGCGGATCCCCGATTAAAGTACAAGTCCAAGGTCGATTTCACAAAATGCCGAAGGTTCCTGAAGAGCTTTGTGTCATTTTCGCCTGTTTGTGGAATCCTGGTGGGTCTCATGAAACCAAAATGCAGCCACTAATGCTAACAAACATACAGGATCAAACGCTGGACAAGATGACTCGAATTGCTTCCGGTTCGGAAAACATTGATCATGACTGGGAGCCTGAGAAGATTCATCTCAGTATACCTTTAATGTGGGATGTTCTTCAAGTCAACTGTAAACCCAAGCCACACGAAGTGTCCACAGGTGGCTTGCTACATCCATCATTGACCCCAACCGTCTCTACAGAAGAGGCGGAGGACAGCCTAGCCTCCACTCTAGAGGTTATCGTTGCCATGTCTCCGAATGTCACAGTTAACACTGCGGATGGTGGTCAGGCTGCCCACATTCCACCAACCATGCCGCACATATCTTCCACGCCAGCTTCTCCTGCCCTCGAGCTGGGTGAGAAGCTCGTTGCGCCAGCTGACAGTTTAATGACCAATACCCCCTGGTTATGGACGGATCCCTCGCAATTTGTTGATATGGAGAACAATGTGGGATATCCGGAATCCGAATCCACTCTCGGAAACATTGACGGATTTTCAACTTGGTGGGACTTCGGAAACTTATAGGAGTAATATGTTCATTGACTTCTACTACGGCGTTACTGTCTTCTCAGACCGTAACTCTCGTCTCAATCATCTGCGCTTATCCTTTAATCGGAGCCAGCCCCTATGCGAAAATACCCTGTGCGGAAACACTCCTAACAAACCCCAGGTGAAAACATGATGCCCACGCGTTCTCGGCCAAGTTAGGCCGCTGCGACCGTCGTTAACTTCTCCTGCAAAGCAGCAAAGTTCCGTTTCATAGCGGTGTCGGTAAACTGAGCCCCAGTCACCATCGGATACTTCTTCGAGGGCCCCTGGATCAAAGAATCCTTACAGGGCTGGTTAAAATAAGCAATGCTGTATCGGTCGCCAAAATAGTCCCCGGGCTCACACGGGGCCTTGACGCGATGAAAAGTTGACTTGAACCGGTCATCCGACCAGGACATGAGTAAATCACCAATGTTGCACACTATCCGGCCAGTCCTGGCCTTCACCTTGGTCCATCCGTCCCCGATACCGAACTCTGTCACTACCTCGCGACCGGGACAGATTTCTAGCCCATCCTGACCGTCCCTTTGGAAAAGTAAAGTCAAAAAGTCCCAATCGGCATGTGCCCCTGCGCGATGATACACCTTGCCGTCGGAAACTTCTGGCAATGCAAAGTAATGGAGTAGACGCATAGTGGTTTGCGAGTTCGGTCGTGAAATGTCATGACATTCGATGAAGAATCTCTCCGGGAACCCCAGGCCCCGCGCAAAGCATCGCATCAAACATTCCGATACTTGTTGGACGCGATTCATAAAATCGAGAGAGGCGGTCCGGAAACCAGGTAGGTCGTCGTTCTTGACCCAGAGGTCATTCATATTCTCACCGAACTGCAACTGGTAAGACTCTTTACTGTCGGGCTTTCCAGTAGACGGTCGAATTTGTGAGTTCTTTTCCCACCCGACATTGTTTGGATTCCACGGTACAGTTGCTTTGACGCTGTCCGGTAGATCGAAGAAAGTTCTTGATATCGCAAACATGGAGTCAATTTGTTCCTCGGAGATTCCATGACCGGTCAGGGTGAAAAATCCAACATTCTCAGCGGCTTGGATCAGTTGATCTGTGATTTCATCGATGCGGTCTTCGAAATCGTGCATGGAGATACATGGAATGACTCGATCGACATATCGAGTTTGAGATGCCATATCTCTTAACAATCCAGGAACTTTGCGGATTTACAAACGGTTAAGTATCAGAACACTTGTAGGTCACTCATGTCACAGAAACTTCTCACATCGTACAATGTATGTGCATCCTGGGCCGGGGGTAGCTCGGCAGGGCTGATAAGAATGGCGTCGGGGATTGCACTCAGATTAGTACGCTAGTACGATTAAAGGGGAAGTTTATAGGGAGTACTCCGTAGGGGATTCTGTCCTTGTCACACGTTTCAGGTAGATCGTTACCGTTTTTGCTGTTGAAAGATAGATGCGTTTCCAAAACACTTCAAAACTGCACGGGCATAGATAGTATTCTGCGCCCTCTAATAGGCCACAATCACCTGGGCATGGTCGAATCAACTCTGTCCGATAAGATATTACCAGGTGCATTCCTTTAGGGCTAACATGAATCCCGGAATTCACCGAAAGCGCCCCGGAGAAGTGAACTGTTGCAATGGTCTTCGCGTCACTCTCAGAAAAGGTGCTTTGTATACTCGTTTTTTCATGCTTGGAGCTCAATGGTGTAATCACAGGCTCATTGCTGCTCAGATAGATTATATTGCCTTGGGTATCAAAATTATATATAGTCAATATGTCCACATATCTATTAAATGCCATATTTGTACGCAAAGGAAGGGCCAGCGCTTGGTGCCAAAATAGATACTGCGTTTGGGCGCAAACCTTGGATGCAATAGCCTGCAAGTTTGATCCAATAAGACCAACGCATTTATTCAACCTTGCGCACTTGGGTCACAGGGGAACGATATACTCGGCGGCCATGCACAATGTACAAACCAATTGCAAAAATGACCACTGCTCCAAAAACAAGGATCGACCAATTCATATCCACCGGGGTGGGGTTGTTGGCGGTCGGGAAGAAGGTGAAAATGATGGCAAAGCAAAGCCAAGCCAGGGAGAAGATGTTGATCGCCAATCCGAAGATACCGAGGGAAAAGCGCGAAGGGGGGATACCACCCGGTTGAAAACGGACCCGAATGACGGCAGCAATCGGCAAGATGTAAGTGGTGAAAAGCGCCGCGATCATCACAGATGCGACAGCATTGAAAGCCGCGGTAGATCCAATGTTGATCAAACTCAGCAGCACGGTGATAATGGTTGACACCAATACAGAGCAGATGGGAATTTGGGTGCGTCGATTAACGTGAGCCAGATGCTTAGAGAATGGCAAGGCATCGTCGCGAGCGAAAGCAAAGGTCTGGCGAGAGACTGTCGCAAGAATACCAATAGCACTGCAGACTTCCATGACAAGAATGATAGCAGCCACAGCATTGGTGGCCGCCACCGAGCCGGTGGCATGATTAACTGCTGGGAGGAAGGAGAATCCACTGGCCGGGGCGAGCACATCCTGTAAGTCTCCCATCTTATACAGCAAGGTGATTAACATAATGAAACCGAGACCGCCGTTGATCAAAGCGGTCGAAACCATACACCACGGGACCACTAAGGCAGCATTCTGAACCTCCTCGGCTGATAAATGTTAGCCATGATCGCGTATTAGTAGAGATATGTCGTTTGACTTACCCATATGGGTAGCAGCATCCGGACCTGTCCAGGAGAAGATCGGAGTCAGCTGGCCCACCAGACACGCGAGGCCCATGCTCGGCCATTCGCCTGAGTTTGTGAACTCCTTCCACACAGACTCCCCAGAGGCCTTTCCTGGAGTCATGGCCCACATCAGAACGACGACGACAACAAAGCCGAAGAGGTGAATGGCGAGGATGAGGCCCTCCATGGGAGGGAGGATCTTGTAGCCCCAGGTATTCACGACAGTTCCGACCGCGGCGATAGCGATGGTGAGTAGTGTCCCATGCCAACGCTCGAAACCATACACCCAACCGGAGGGATTTGAGTAGTTGAAGACCAGGAGTCCTTGAATCAGAGTACCGCAGAGATAGCAAATACTCGCAAAAGCAGCCTGCCAGCCAAGCACCGAAAGCCAACCTAGACACCGGGATTAGCGTTGGAGATCGTCGGATTGTAATTCGAACGGGAGGAGGGGTGCGAACCGGTGAGATAACTCAAGAATCGTTGACATCTCGGCCAGGCGAATTCACTGACCCAGTGGTACTGTCCACCGGATGTTGGGGAGCTGGCTCGGTCAATCTCCATACGCGACAGGGAGGTGGGATTGAACGTACATGGAGGCGATCTCGGCCATGGAGACCACGGCGGCGAAAAATCCCACAAACGATGCGATATACACATAGACCATGCCGGCTCGTCCGCCATCAGTCAGGCCGTAGGTACTCGTGCTGCGCCATTCTCCATTATTCCCGGTGTCCTCTGGTAATCTCGTGCGTCCAAACTCACAGCAGAATCGACTCCCATGTGGCCATCAACGTCGTCGTGAAACCCAAGATGGAGTAAAAACGAAAGTTTCTCTATTGTTGATCGGTGTTGATCAATATTTGAGTGTGGTTCCCGGGGGATGTGCGATGTGCAACTCACCTTGAACTGTTGAGTCTTGCCCAGGCGCTGCATGTCCCAATCATCCTGGTCGGTCGCATCGATGGCGACGTCCTGGGACACCATATTCTTGTCCAACGGTCCCTTCATGGTGAGTTGGAGAAGGGAAAAACCGGAGTTGATCAGAGATCAGACTCACGGCCAAGGGGCCCCGAGGTCAAAGGGGGAAGGAAAAGCCCGAGAGTGGAGCCAAAGTTTATTTGGTCTGCAGGAGCTTACATAACCACCTATGCAGTTCCAAGGTTATTCATGTAGCTAGGTAGGTTATAACATATAGTTATGTAGAATATATAATATATAACATATATAGAGGATAGAGAAGATGGGCAAGATGGAGAAGATGGAGAATTGTCTACTCCGTACTCCGTACTTCGTAGATGATATGAAATAGATTGACGCTGATCACAGTCGAATGGAGTAAAGTAGACTCGCACCTGATTGGATGTTCCTCATTTAACTTTAGTTTCTTCAGGCCAATAGCCGAATGTCTCAAATTTATGAATTCGATATGGAGTACATGAGTACTTGGTATGTTGTACGTAGTACAACCATATTCTTTATGTTGTATACGGAGTATATCGTAACAGAGTCCAGATTTCATACATATGTCATACATATAATCCTCGATATTCGGTTCAGGAAATATCATACGTTTTACCTACGCTAAAATATACGTCTATGCATATGTATGTATTAATACATGTATTTACCGGGGAATTATGTTTCAGTTGGATACATAGGTACATAGATAGGTACATACCCACATATGTAGTTATGTAGTTATGTAGTTATGTACATCCATTAGAGTTGGATAGGATTCGAGACATAAACTGAGTACGTATTCCAAGATATTATAATAGCTAAGCATTATTCCCATCCATGATTCATAGGTATATATTATGGGTTCTGGACTCTAAATGGCGTGACTTGCTAACCTTGGCAGTACTCCGTAGTCAAATTCCAAGGTCCACGGGTGCTCATATCATATTTAATATGTCTTTCGAGCATCACTTGGTACTAGCGCAAACTACGAATAAAAGAAAAAAATAATAATAGCAATAATAATATATTCTCACGGCTAATACCCGTTCTTATTCCACGAAAGGTTTAAAGATACCCACCTATGCACTCCGTACTCCGTACAAGCGTCCCAAAGTGTGCCAAAATAGATCCCCACGCGTGGAATCCACGTGGACCCTCCACACGTCTTGGTGTCAAAACACAGAGAATTTAATGCATTGCGCGTCATTTACTCTGTGATCCTACGTACGTTATATACTCTACTCTCCTTTTGGGTGAAGATGTACCGGTTGAATATCCCCTTATCTTTGCGACTAAATCCAATCAAGAGATTAAGACCGAGCTCGGGAGATTGCGTGAAAAAGAGAGAGGCCAAGATCGACCAAAATTGAAGCTGAAAACTAGTATAGAGTATAAACTAGTATAGAGTATATAACAACAACATAGTATAGAATAGATAATGGACAACATAGTATATATACTACTGTATGTAGGAAACATTGAATTGTCTTATCTGATTCCAAGATTAAGTGGAACCACACACACGCCACATCAACCCAAGCACAAAATACTTGGGATGACGACGCGTGGGGCTGGTGGCGTTGCAGCTCCTGAGGTCGCTTCTAGGAGATCTTGGAGACCTTTCTACGCTGTATGACCCATCTCGGCAGATGCTTTCCTCGTTGGTTGGCGCAGACGCGCAATTCTCCAAGGGATTGTGACCCACGGGGAGCTTGGCAGACCATGATATTTCGATGGAAAATCCGTCAGCTACCGAATCACCATACGCGTACAAACTCGGTTCCACTGTTCCTGTCGCCAAGACCAAGTGGTTCCCTTCCACCAAGAAGTCTACCAGATAGACGGCGCCGGGGGGAATCGATGTCAAAAGCAGGATGTGAAATAAAACCATGGTGTCGCGGCCTCTGCCGACAGAAAAGACTGCTACTGTCTCCTTGCTCGAACCCCCTTGTTTTTGTTTTTTTTTATCCGCGATGCGCCAATGTTCTTGCGAACTTCTTCTGGCGTGCTTCGCCATGATCGTCTGCACATCCGCCTTCCCCTCCAATGGATTGCTCTAATTCTCGCCGCCATTGGGGGACTCATTGTATTCTATGTGTTCGCTGTCCCTCAACTTCTCAGATTCCGGTTCCGTGCCGACTTAAGCTGGTATGATCTAGGAGCTCAAGGGTTTGGTCCAGACCGAAGTTACATCTCCTTCGATCAAGAAGCTCCCATTGTGGAAATCACCCCGCATGATGCGAAATGCGATCCCCGGTACACATTCCTTGCACCTCGGGGCGATTCAATTGCCCATCCTGGTCCGATGATCCTGAATCCCGCCGGGGAACTTGTATGGACAAAATGGAACGGGGGGACCACACAAGACTTCAAAATGCAGCGGTACAAGGGTGAGGACTACCTCACTTATTGGCAAGGAGACACAGCCGACGGTTATGGCCGAGGGTCATGGTACATGGTATGGTTATATATTGAGCTAGCTTACCATGATTATCGTTCACTAATTACCTTGTCCATTCACAGCTCGATTCGACCTATACACAGAAGTATGTGGTGTCTCCAATCGGCATATACGATGGCGATCTCCATGACTTCCAAATCACTCCCAACGATACTGCAATTTTGATGATTTACGACCCTATCCCGATGGATCTGAGCTCTATCGGCGGACCAGAGCTGGGATGGATGTATGACGGAATGTTCCAGGAAATCAATCTCGAAACCGGCGAAGTGTTATTCCAGTGGCGCGTATCCGACTTTTACGACCCAAGTGATAGTTATTATCCGATTGGAGATGCCGGTTGGGGACGGACTTCCGGGTATGACCACTCGCACATCAACAGTGTGGACAAGGATGATCAGGGCCGGTACCTGGTTTCGATGCGCCACCTCCATACTGTCGCATGTATAGATGGCACCACTGGTGATGTCCTTTGGTCACTAGGAGGGAAACGGAACACCTTTGCCGATGCTTCGGATGGAGCTGCCACCGAGTTCTCATGGCAGCATGACGCTCGCTGGCAAGGACCCAACCGTCTCAGCTTGTTCAATAACGCAGCCTACAATAACGACAATCTGTCCGCTGTGAGCCATGGGATGATCGTTGATCTGGATGTGGGAAAACAGCAAGCAACATTACTGCAATCCTTCCACCATCCGCACGATATAATGTCTGTTTCTCAGGGGAACGTGCAAGTACTCGACACAGGGAACGTCCTTGTGGGCTGGGGCCACTCTGCAGCCTTCACCGAGTTCTCCCCAGAGGGCAATGTTGTATGCGACGTACACTTTGGAGCCTCTGCTTTCTTCACATTTGGTCGTGTCGTTTCCTACCGAGTGCTCAAATTCGACTGGGTAGGTAATCCACTGACAATCCCCGATACTGCCATCACACCAGAGAGTGTCTTTGTTAGTTGGAACGGTGCCACCGAGGTAGCGGAATGGCAAGTCGAGGCATGGGACGGTGAAGACCTCAGTAACATGACATTCACGGCTGTGGACCAGGTCCCTCGCGAAGGGTTCGAAACCGAAATCCCACTCACCTCCAAGGTTGAGTCATTCTTCCGCCTGCGTGCAATCAAGTCAAACGGAGAGAGTCTCGGTGTAACTGAACTACTCCAACGATTACCAGCATCATCATCGGAGGCCTCTTTCCATATCAGTCCATGGGCCTTGACGGCCATTGTGTTTGTGGTGCTTGGTTGCCTTATTTGCGGCGTGTATTTTGCTATTCATCGACGACTTCGCCAAGGATTCGGCTCCAGTGGCCTCTATCAATTGGTGTCGCATAAGGATGAAAATGAGAGCGATGATCAACATGATCAACATGATCGCCTGCCAGTATAGGACGTCGGCAGCCTATACGTAGAATTCTATTTGCATGTATATAGCTTGATCTGCACATATTGAGGAATGAATTCCTATACATTTTAGGAAATCGATGAGATAAATTTGTAATCGGTGTTTACGCAATCTCATAGCCCCCTTTGAGGGGTTCATGATGCCTAAATGCCTTATTTAGTATACAGTTTATGGTAGACTTACCAATACATCAACTCTCAAAAGTCACAAATATGCGAAATTGTCTAGTGTCAACTTTTTTTATGGTCATTGAACTCTCTAGGGTGAGAAGAAGACAGTGCCAGTGCCAGTGCTAGGGGTGGGCTTGGAAGATAAAATACGAATCCCTACACATGATTGCTGATAATGCCCAAGTTCGACCTCGGTGAATTATGTACATAGCGCAATAGACTACTAGAATTGTAAACTACAATTTTAGTAGTCTAATTTTATCTTAGTCTCAATCGAGTATTTCTTAGAATGATGGATTTGAAAAGATCTTTCTGGCTAACAAGATAGAAAAGCGAAATTACTGGGCACCCAGAGGATTCAAGTACATACTTATATGATAGGAAGCGATGGAACATCATGAACCTCGTTCTCGGTTGATCGAGAGATGATGATCTCTGAACAGGATCATTGTGCAACTGGATAGGAATAGGTCACTCCGTTTCAATTAGACAGCGATGCCCCTTTGGTGCCATCAGGAAGAAGGATTGCATTTCCATATCCTTTGCGCTCATTTCCTCTTTGTCGGATCGTTGGGCATTGGGGAATTCTCGGAAAAAGAGGACTGATCCCAAGCGAAGTTCCATACGGGCCAAGTGCAATCCGATACAGACTACACATATCCATGGTGTAAGCCGAGGTGATCCCCAAGGGCATTAAGGTTATTCTTGACTTACTGCGCGATCCACCACCAAATGGAATGGAGATATCCTTCATTTCCTTGGTCGGGTTCTCCCATCTCTCGGGGTTGAACCTACATTCTGTTAGTGTGCCTCCTTTGCGTGTAAGAGATATTCTTCTTACGTGTATGGGTCGGGGAAGATTGTAGCATCCCTATGTAGACTATAAGACTGGGTCGACACCGTCGTTCCACCCGGAAGGAAGTATCCGTTGAAACTAGCTCCTTCTGAAGGCACAGAACGAGGGAGACCAAAAGGAACAGCCGTGTAAATACGCAGGGTCTCGCTGATAACCATGTTTAGATACGGCAGATTCCGAAGGTCATTGTCATGGATCGGCTCAGACAATGCTGTCACCTCAGCGACCAGCTTGTCTCGAATCCGTCTGTTTCCACAGACAGCGTCGGTAAGGTAGGTCAAAGTAACGGCAGTGGTATCACTTCCTGCAACGATGTACGCCTGAGCCTCTTTCTTGATTTCGTCATCAGCAAGGCCACCTTTCTGGGTGTCGAATAGCTTGGTAAAAAGTGTCTGCTTCGGGTTGGAGGGATTCTCTGCGAGTATCTTCTTGTATCGCTCGATGGACTGGGTTGCATATATGCCCATTCGCTTCCCGATTGCTGCGGCGCGCTTAAAGGCTGGCAAAGGCAGATATTTGCCGAAGAGGACCAGGTTGGGGAAGGTTGTTCGAATCGGTTGGAGGGCTGAAACTCCTTCCAGATCTAAGATGTATTGAGATTTCTGTTTGGTGTTAGAATCGATTTTGGAGTCTTCTACTTTTGAATGGATGTAACACTTACCTTGCCAGCCTCTAGCATCCGAAAAGATTCCCCAAAGCTAAGTTCACCAATAATGTCGGTGGCCATGAACAGCCACCACTTAAATATGTCGGTGGCACCACGGGTCTGTATTTCTTCTACCATTCTGCAGATTGCCATTTTTACCCGGCCTGTAATTAACTCTTCATGCTGATGCAGTGAGGTGTCGGAGATTGGTGATGCCAGTAGGCGACGGCGGGTAGAATGGAAATTCGGATCGGTGGTCGAGAAGACGCTTTCCATGTTGTTTGGTACGAGTGTGCGATACCAAGGGGATTTGAGGAAGCGTGAGTTAGTCTTATGTATCTCTTTCACGGCATCGACACTGCTGATGTCGACTCTATTAGGGCCAGTTCGAACGATTGGACCTTGATATCTCCGACGTCAATACTCGATATTCCCAATCTTTAAAAGGAGAAGATGCCATTGCAAATTCTTACCATAAGTCTCATGCAGCCTATGAACATAGTTTGGGGCCTTCCCGGCGAACCAATAATATATGTAAACAAGATCAGTCCATTTAGAGATGGCCGGACCTGGAATCCGCGCGAGAGGACTAGAGAGACGGTTATAGATGAAGTGCTGCACCGAAGTCAGCTTGAAGAGCCCAGAAATTCTCCAGCAAGAACCAATCATACGAGAGACAATACTCCAATAATGGAGGCTAAAATTGCGGGAAGATGGCTGACAGACTCCATAGTTGTGATTTGTTGGATATTCCACATAGGTCGGTCTCTTCACATTGTCAGGTCAACATGGTATTTATATTGAACAATACAATCATTGTTGGTGGCACATCCTATTACACACACATTCAAATCAGCCCGGTGCTTTGTTGCCCGAAGGCCGACAAATATCGCAGTGCGGACGAGCATTCGGGGCTAATTTCAAGGAATCGCCGAGGAAGGTGATCGGCATTGGAGATGAGCACCTAGATACATACTACTTCTCCGCTATCGTGCAGACTTTAGAATGAATCGATGCTTTGAGAACTGATTCGGTCGACACTAACCTGTGCGAGCATCAATGTTGTATAGAGAATTGAAGGTTTTTCGTTTGTTGACGGACCCTATCATACATTCTAGATTAGGGGGGTACTCTAGAAAGGGTTTCCCACATTGATGCCCTTATTTTGGTATGTCAATGGTATTGCCAGGTCCAGAGTTGGACCCTTCGTAGCATTTCTCAATCGAAAATCGGCCTTGTATGGAGTGGGACCAAAATAAAGTACATACGTTACGTGGGGTGTTTATGCCCATTAGATTCCATGACCAGACGGGATCCGTCAAAACCCGTCAAAAGCCGACCAGCCCTCTGCATAGACGTTTTATATGATCTCCTTTTGAGATGTATGAAAATAAGCGCAACATAAACCTAATTGTCGATTGTTTGAAATGATCTCTGGGCTTCGCATCGGATCTCGGGCTTCGTTTAAGGCCGAGAGGTCTTACCGTGGAAAGTGTCAAATGTGCTAAGTCCGACTATCCATTTCGCCCCACATCTCTAGACGCAATGATACAGGCTGGCCTTCTTGAAACTGGGCGGGTCAGTAGCGCCTTCTTTCGCTTCTGTTTGTCTCAGTTGCACATGAAGTCCGACAGCAGCAATGACTGGGGTAGTGCCGCCGCATATAGGGGGTTTTGGGGGAAACGTTGGGCTTACCTCCGGCTACAGCTTCGAAACCAGGAAGTTGAATTACTCCTCGACATCAAAGATATTTAATGGTTCAGCTACGACCTGAGCAAACCTAGGCTTGCAGCTTATGCAAACTGTGGATGTTGGCTACCGTGCTAGTTGGATTAGTCCCTTACGCCCAGTTACCATCTCGGGAATCTCCGAGCTACACCAGACGCTTGTCAGCTTCTTCAAGGGTACGCATACCAGCAAGCGTTAGTGGGTTTCCAGAAACACAACTCACTCATGTGGATCGTACCTCCAGCAACGATAGTCACCTTTCATTGGTGGGCTCAGCAGGTTGGGTCGGTCTCAAGTACAGTGGATATGCGACCGCTCGAAATTTAGTGACATCATCCCGTTATAAATTTAGCGCGCCAGGGGCTCAGGTGCTCATCAGGGTATTGACCAAGCACTGCGTATACCTGTCTCCCCGACAGGCTTGTAAGCTCGGTAGCCAGGAGCAGGTCCTGTGCGCCATTGAGCAAGATTCCGCTATTAGGCTAGTGGAAGGCATTGTTCATGGTGCCGTATGAAATCAAGACATCTCATACCAGACTAAATGTCTCTGGAGGGCAGGCGCGATGGATTGGTGCACGGAATGTTCGATCGACGGGATCGGTATGCACGGAATAACCTTGCGCAGTTGGAAAGGCCCCAGATTCTGATACAATGTCTCGCTATAGTCATCGGCCGAAGTCCACGGTATATGGAATCTCCACCAAGCCACCAAGATTCTCACTGAACCTTTTCGTGGTGGCTACCCCCATCCTCTTGGGTCTCAGCCTTGCGTTCCAGGGCGCGTACACCGCTGAGGTGGGCCTTCGAAGTGCCGTAGTGCCACTGGTATAGTGATACGCGCGTGTCACATCATTAGTGCGTACAAGAACGCATTGCGACGTGATAAGGACAAAGAGAACTAGGAGAAAATAATGATTCAGAAGGGCGATAATCAGCCCTAACGCGAATTCGTTACGGCGTTGACGCGGCCATGCAGAAAACGCACACTGCTTTTGGCCCCGAACAATTTGGGTGTCGGGTGAGTACCCTGCAGCTTGTTACAGCAGCCATCTAGGACACAGTAGCAAGTATGCTTCTGATGGACTTGTTGACGGTCAATGCAACCCGCGCTATATCACAGCACGATGTTGGCAACTCCATTGCGACGGACCTGCCTGATTACTTCCATCAGGCTGTTGTGTTTAAGATTACTGTGGTGGATCATTTGGACTCGGGAACGAGCATCGGCACTCTGGCGGTAAAGGTGGTGGATAACATGATCGTAAATTGGGGACTGGAGTAGGATGGATTTTGAGTGATTTAGATGTAGCCTTAGCTCCATAGATGAATCCCGAGGAAGCGGTTTGTATGATGTCCAGCTGAAAGCCTCGTTGGTATTGAAAATGAAACATTTTGCGGCTTCTTTAGATGGTGTCAGGGGATGTGACACAATTAAGCCCGAGACTGGGACTGTTGCACTTGACGACAGCCATTTACCTCCATAGTGAGCCGGCTCTGTGATGAACGTCGTCACAAGATTGATATGAACAGTACAAACAAAGAAAAGGGAAAATAAAAAGGGGGGGAGGGAAATAAAACATGGAAAATTAATACAAACATGAATGTGAAATGTATAGGGTATCGTATATTTTCCTGATAGAATTCACAAGGAACGCCGAAAGAAAATCCCACAGGCCCATTCCATATACCGGGGCCTGTATATGCAGACACATAAACACATGCCACGTAGACAGAAGAAAATCATCAAATGCATCAAAACAATCCAAGATATGTCTTTCTGGGACACAAAGGTTAAACCGTGATGGAATGGAAGAAAGAGAGATTGCCATAATAGAGTTTTGCGTGTGGATGTTTCCTTGCGAACGAGCACAGGTCAAGTGTAATCAAAAAGGGGCAGAGTAGGTAGAGGTGTTGGATGAATGGAGGCAGGAAGCTGGGCAGGCAAGTATGGCTGTGTTGGGTTGTCAACGATCAAAGATTTGTTACTTAGTGTCGAACCATCCACCATTTTCCCATTCCCCATTAGGTGTGTATGTGGCTGCTTGTCGGGTGGACGGATCGCAGAGACCGCTCAGTAGAACGTTCAAACGAGCGAAATTGATAGGTTTCATGACCCAACCATCGAATCCAGTATCGACGTAGTGGTCGTGGTCTTTTTCAACCAACGATGCAGAGACGGCAAAGATAGGCACTCGATCATTGTGTATAGCTTTATTGGAGAGCGCTTCCTTGGGTGTCTTGGATTCAAACTCGCGAATCGCCCGAGTGGCTGTCATTCCATCGAGGATCGGCATCTGGGGAAGGTTAATGGAGGTGAAGAGGATGGGAGGAGCGTTTCCAACATACCTGGATATCCATCAATACCACATCAAAAGATTTGGTAGCAGAGGCAAAAGCAATCGTGCAGGCTTCACCATTGCTAGTCAACTCGACGGTGTGACCAAGTTTGGTCAACCGCTTTTGTATAATCTTGCTGTTGATTGGGTCGTCTTCGGCGACAAGAACACTGAGTGGGTCGTAGTTTGTTGTTGAAGGTACAGTGGTTGGGGGGGCAGAGGATGCTGGCCCTGAGAAGGGGGCTTGTGATATTTCTGCGATTGATGAAACTCGTGGGAAATATGAGTTATCTTCCTTGGTAGGCTCAATTTGTAGTGATCTCAAACTGGTGGAGTGTGGTGACATTCGTAGAGCACCCATCGGGACTCCCGAGTCCGTGATATTCTCTAGGCCTGGGGGAGGGGGGTCACAAGTGGTTGTAGAGTGAGCGGCGGGGTATGGGTGACGGCAGATAGAGTTCGCTTGGGATCCTGTGTGGCCAACGATCGCTTTATAGCAGACGGCGATGCAAGAGGAGACGCATGAGTGCTGCTGGCGCTGGCAGGACTCGAAGAAAGGTTCAGCGGTCGCAGGTCCAAATCTTGGCTAGTGCTTCTCGTGAGAGGCGGTTCTTGCATAGCGCTGATCAGTCGATCAGCGTGACTTCTCCCACTGCGCCCGCTATGTCCACTGCGGGAACTGGCACCACTGCGAAGGCTTTCAGAACTTCGTCGTCTAGCATCACGAGATTCATGTGCTGCGGAAACGAGTGTAAACTCCTTGTCTGAAAGCATGGGCGTCGCAGGAACGACAAGGCTCGGGGGAGGAATTCCTTCTGAATCTTCCTCCACGGCTGTCCCCTCTGGCAATCGGAAGTGCAGTATAATCTTAAAACGACTGCCTTTCCCTTCTTCTGATTTGACACCGAGCTGACCATGCATGTTATGGACGATCCTTGCTGCAAGAGCAAGGCCAAGACCCAATACACGTTTTTGCGGTGGGTCCTGTGCGTTCTCTTCTTCTTCCTCGGGGTAGTAAGTATCATCGGTCGACACTTGTTCAAGCTCGTGGAAGAGCTTCTCCAATTTGTCGTGCGACATGCCCACCCCCCGTATCAACAACTATCATCTCCACTCCAACATGGCCTGGAATCGCTTCACTGGTAGAGCGCCACATTTCCGCCGTGACCGCACCGGACTTGGTATGCTGAATGGCATTTGATATCACGTTCGAAAGAACTTGCCGCACACGACGTTGGTCGCCGAGAACTGATTTAGGAATACCAGGATGTACCGAAACAGTGTATGATATGTTCTTCCGCTTGGCATCGCCAGACAGCATGTCAGCGGCTTCTCTAAAAGTTGACTCAAGGTTGAAGGTCTCATCTTTAATGAGGTCCTGTCCTTTTTCGGTATTTGTCAAGTCGAGGAGATCGTTGATCACGTAAATTAGTGACTTGGAAGCCGAATGGGATTTGGTCAAACTCTCTCTGGTTTCATCGTCCAGAGCACCCTCAAGTGCAATCTCCAGATAGTTAACGATGGCATTCAAAGGAGTCCTCACTTCATGTGCAGAGTTTGCCAGAAGTAGTCGAGTGAGTTGCGAGGTTTGCATAGCGGCCTCCTTCTGCCTCCAAACTTTGATAAATTTACCGTAAACCACTGTTCAGGTATGTCAGCTGTTGAATAATTGAGATGAAATATTTAGGGTATCCGAAGGAGATAGCTTACAGCACAAGACCGCCGCCGTCTCCACGTCCGTCTCTGTCCACTCTCTACTTTGCGATAGAACTGTCTCCCCGCCACGCTGTGAAACTTTCGCGGGGTTCTAGATATCCCGCGGTCTGCTTTCGCTTTTCAATTTCGTAAGGATTGCCGGCCCATTTAATCTCTGTGAGCTGTCCACGGCGGAAGAATGCGATGAAGTCACTACCTCTAGTAGAAAGCGGGACATATAGTAGACCAGAGATCGCTTTCAATCCCGGGGCGTAATGAAAATCAGGGAAATCCTTGACAATATCGTGCGAGGCAAGCACTGAATCCAAATGCCGTACGCGAAGGAACTCTAACAATGCAAGAACCTCTTGGGAGTTATGATTGTCGCCAAGTATCTTTGTTTCATCGCGAATCGATAACACGCCGTAATCTGCATCAAATAGTTGTAACAGATCATCCGAGGATGCAATGATGTATCCTGATGGGTTGGCCTCGGTTGGAACGGTGTTGATTAGTTTTCGGGCTTGAAGGCGAGAGGCATATGAAAGCCGCTCTATGTTTCGAGATACAGTATCTCCGAGGAGCCGGCACATTTTGCGTATTGGGAATGATACGCGCATACCGGCACTTCCGTAGCTATGGCAGGAGATCAATCCCCATAGATCATTGAAAGCGTTCACGCTTATTGACATTGAAGACCGGACTTTCATGTGCGCCAAATATTTCACGTGAATTGGGGACATCGCACGAAGATAGGCGTGAGTCATGTCCAACGGAGATTCTAGATCCTCCAAGGTCCGACAGACAAGTCGAGAAGTCACTTGGTCGCGATCGTATAGGAGCCGGACCTTATTTATTTTGTATAGTTCTCGGGCTTGCGCGGGGATATCCGATGCAGGGAAATGAAGGCCCTTGTAGAGATCAATAGTAGTGTTCGGATCGACTAACTCGGCAACAACCATGCCGTTCCAGCTACTATCGAATTGATAGATCAAGACGCGGTGAAAGCCAGTCAGTTCTTTGACCAATCCTGCAGTTGTATTGAGCAGCTGATCCAGATCATTCGTCCGCCCCAACTGCTCCTGTATCTGAGTTAAGATACTAAACGCTTCCATCGATGATGCCTCGCCCCTTCTACGACGGGCACTCCTCAGAACGCGGAGAGGCTGGCTGATGTTGATCGTGCTCGCAGCGAGCTGATCTGGTGTTGGAACAATGCCTAGGGTGTCTGCGGGAGCGGCGGGAGTGGTAAGGCCGTCGACATTCAACGGGTTCACTTCGTCATCCTCACGCTCGAACTCGCAGATAATCAGATCCTTTTGTGTCTGAGAGACATGGGTGGCACACCAGAATTTGCAGCGCGTCCCATCAGCTGTGCGAATGGACATGTTGAAAACCTCCGGTCCGTCGACTGATGGGTCATGTGCATCGTCACGAACAAAGTCAATGTGATCCAGCAATGTGTCCGCCTGGTCCTCGCTCAAAATATCACAAAAGTTTTCCAACTCAAACAGTTGCTTAGGCGAATAACCCAAGAAGTCCGCCGAGTTCTCGCTCACAATGCGGACCATAAGCTGATTTGGCAATTCTTCACGAAGGGCAATCATTAAGCCAAAACTTTGAATCGCCCCGGGGATGCGAATGGGCTCGTCCTCGCAGTATTGGAATGCCTCTCCGTCTCGTCCTGTGATGACGGCATGCCCACTATCCGTCATGACATGTTTGAATCGAGCAGTGACATGGGCTTCATCTTCGGCGTTCCTGCGCCGGGTATGGGAGGATAGAGGTGCGGTAGAGCCGCTTCCGGAGTGGCTCTCGCTCGGGGCAGGTTTCGCGTATATTTCAGGGTGTTGAACAACCTCCGATGCCAAAGAATGTGTCGCAAGTTCGGTTCGTTCATCTATAACATGTGTCTCATGGCGTGGAATGTCCGTGGGGATGGTAGGTTCAGCGTGCTTAGGGTCGGGGTGATGAAGGTGGTCGGAAGCAAGTTGCGAGTGCAGTTGGTTCCACGTCCGTTCGTCGATGAATGGATACTGTCGAGCCCCTTCTCGGGTTGGCGATCTCGTGTCGCCAGAGTGCATTGAACCCGAATACTGGGGGGTAACGGTGGGATCGACTGAAACAACTGACTTAATAGGGAACACACGGTCGGCGGGGTCAAAACCAGTGCTTGGTGGCGGCTGAATCTCTGCGGTCGACTGCGAACGATCTCTCGACATTGGCTGTCCTTGTCTTGTCTCTGAGGGATACATCATTTTTGGAGACGCAACACTCTCCGACCTTTTGCGCGGGGACCACAGGCCGATGCCCTTAGGATGTGGGGACGTCATCTCCACTGTTTAGACTATCGGAATGAGCGTAGCGCGCCTGAACGGTCGCTTAGCAGTGGGATACTAGTCTCGAATGTGAATATGAGAGCGAATCAACCCCGCGACGAGATTGTGGGGCGTTCTAAGTTTGTATGGAGGGAGCAAAGGATGTATACATGTATATTCTTAAACCGAAAGAGACGTGAAAGCATGTCAAGCCTAAGTAGGAAGGCGGTATATTATTGGACTTGAAAAAACCGGCCTAGATTTTCTGTGAACAAAAAACTTGGAAACTTGGAAGAAAATAATGTGTTTATTGAAATAAAAATTCGAAGAAAAAAAAAAGAAAGGTAGCAAACTCCGATAGGGGGAATCGAACCCCCGGCTGCCGTGTGAGAGACGGCGATGTTAGCCACTACACCATATCGGATATTGGATGAATAAAGATTTCGTTATTGACTACATCAACCATATGGCAACATAAGCTATCAGGTCCACCAAGACTCGCGATAAAAAAAAAAAAAAAAACCAGAAAACCAGAAAACTCCTTTACAGAATCCTAATAAAGACTTTGGTGAGACAATTAGCCACTATTTGCATGGCTTTCAATCGCCCCCTACCCATCTCCGGGGTGTGGAAGGACCCTGATGCCTATGTGGAGGCCCTCCTCTCCTTCTCTACTACCTCGGTGCTCTTTATGAATCTGTGCGGTGGTGTGCATATGGTCGACTTTCTGACCCGGGAACCCGACCTCTATACAACAATCTTGCCAGAAGATTGGAGATCTTTCTTCGAACAACATGATATCCAAGACATCATCCGCCTACTCCTACGAGAGGACATTGACCACTTACGGGGCACTGGCGAGCCTTCTGTAGATCAAAGCAGCCGTACTTGGAATGGAGGAGCATTCCCTCCCCAGAGCCTCTTGGACTACGTTTTCAATATCCGCCTACTGACACTCCAACGAGAAATGGACATCTCGTCTTCGAAGAGGACTGAATTACCAAAACAAGTTGCTATGCACATGAGCCGAAAAAAGGCACACGAGGTCGAATGCTTTTCTCAACATGTCTCATCTCTATCAGACACTGTCAATAAGCGCCGAGGTGAACCAGTCACGCATATTGTGGATTTTGGGTCTGGACAGAACTATCTTGGTCGCACACTGGCTAGCTCGCCCTACTACAAGCATATTATTGCCATTGAACGCAAGCATCAGTACATCAGTGGTGCTAAGAGCATGGATATTCGGGCCAAATTGGCAAAGAACCCCAATGCTCAATATTTCCAAAAGGATCAAAGTCCGTCCGATGGCTGCAACGGAACTACGGAAGTGACTGTTTCTGAAACGACGGGTACCCCTCAACCAGCGATAGAGGGCTCGCATGTCTCAGATGTTCCTTTTTGCCAGATGCTGGGCGAGATTAGCCTTGAATCTGACGAGCTACTTGGATCCCCTACCAAAAGTCCATTACGAGAAAAGGCACCCACGCCGGAGCTCCATACCCGCGGCACTCTCAGCTATATTGAGCATGAAATCCAGGATGGCCACTTAGAGCCCATTATCGGCCACATCATCCATCCATCCCCTCCTGGAGATGCTGATGGGAAAGGGAAAGAAGAGAGCGACGCTCGATTGATGGTCGTTTCCCTTCACTCTTGCGGAAACCTTGTTCACCATGGTCTGCGATCCCTGATTCTAAATCCTTCGATCGTGGCTGTCGCTATGATCGGTTGTTGCTACAATCTGTTGACGGAACGCCTCGGTCCAACTACACATGACCTCCCTGTTCTTCAATCCCTCCACCCTCGGCTTGAAGAGACCGGAACATCATACGATCCACATGGGTTCCCTATGTCTAAATACTACGAGAATTACCGAAGTCCCGGGGCAACGACCGGTGTGAAGCTTAACATCACATCTCGTGCACTGGCCGTGCAAGCTCCGTACAACTGGGGCTTTAATGACAGTGAACAGTCCTTTACCCGTCACTTCTTCCGTGCTCTTCTCCAGCGTATTCTCGTTGATCGAAATATTCTTCCTAAGCCGTCTGTGCCGGGAGACGCCTTCTCTGGCGGAACTTCCCCAGAAGCTAGAACCAACTCTATTATAATAGGATCATTGCCTAAAGCTGCCTTTAAGTCCTTTACTGCATATATTCGTGCTGCAACGATCAAAATGAGTCGAGACCCGATATATGGTCCGCAGGTCCAGGAGCATATTGTTACTCTCACCGATGATGAGATTCACCGCTATGAGACTCAGTACTTCCACGCGAGGAAACACATGAGTACTGTGTGGAGTTTAATGGGGTTCAGTGCTCAACTCATTGAGGCTATCATTGTTGTGGATCGGTGGCAATTCCTTCGTGAGCAGGACTCGGTCAAAGACTGCTGGGTTCAACCAGTGTTTGACTACAGTAAGAGTCCGCGTAACTTAGCAGTGATTGGACTAAGAAAGTGATGAGTTGTGGGAAGAGGAGGTTTCGATGTGTATTGCATGTAGATTTGAATTGAATTTATGTCCATGTACAGGGGGTCATAGCAAAAGAAATCTAAAGTTAATGAAGAACTAAATCAATCATCGTCGACTCACTAACTCAATCGCTACGGTGTCGATACTAGCGCCATACTAACTTGGACATAATGCGAAAACATCAAGATTTCTAGATTTCAGACCACGCCATATCATCGTTATTCCAACATCATCTATGTTTATACCATGTCTGATATTGGATGGAGATTCGATTCAGTTGTGACACATTCAGCTTAGCCCTTTCTTTGTTTGTGCCTGTGCTTTGTTGTAGATACATGTATAATCCCTTGTTCTTCCCCTCCATTCAACAGCCTCAGCCGCTTCAGCATTAGGGCGAAAGTTCCAATGCTAGCTTTCAAATCGATCTTAGCCTGCCATTAGCATTGGGTGTGTGGTGTGTCTGAGCCTGCCTTTTCAGTATCGGGAATATCCCCATTCTTTTCCTGGATATTGTCATTTTCCGCCATACCATAATCCGTCTCAAGCTCTTTTCGCAAAGACACCTCTTTCTCAAGAAACACCAATATACAAGCAAGGCCACAGAAAGCAATGGATATCTCCCAGACAAGCTTGAGGGAGTCAGAAAATACCCCGATAACTTCGTTCTTCGCCGAGTCACTTAGGCTATCAATGAACGTATTGGACGCGTGCTGATAGGCGTGACCGTTGGAGAGTACTTTTTGCACACTAGCATCTGAAATACGATAGGCATATTTATTAAACTTATGATTGAATGGCGAGGAAAGTTATGGGATGGGTGTTTGGTATATTTCCTCGCTCAGAGAGAACATGAAAAACATCCAGCAGATTTTGGAACAGAACCATTCTTTATAGATCTGTACAGCTGTTGCATTGTCTCGTTGATTGTATTTTGCGCTGTTAGGTTTGACTGGGCAACCAGATTCAAATCAGTCCTTGATATTTTGATGTCCTCCCAATCCATCACATCTTTATTGGCCAGTTCCATGTCGCAGGCTCACCTCGCCAGAATTGGCCCTGTAGAGTCCGCACTCCCTAACCTTGGTCATCAAAAGTAATGTGTATTGTTTGTGCCTTTGCCATTTCTGATTCCAATTTAATGCATTAGTACGTTCTAGTTGGAATAATCCAATTATTTATATATGTTGTTCAATAGCGGCCAGCCTCTCCTTGATACATATTTGAATGCCTTGGGGGCAAGTAACAAATAGAAGAAATGGAAAGAAGAGAGGTCAACGCTTTTTAATTCTTTTTTTTTTAGCTGCCAGTCTTAGTTTAACCATTCTGAAAAATCAACTCCAGATTGCCCCTTGAGAGCTACATTCTCAAGGACTGCCAGCTCCTCATTTCCGAAAATATTCTTCCCGGGTATCTGGAAATCACCTGGTTTGGAAGAGGTTGCATCTTCGCCAGGTAATCGTTGGTAGCTGCCTCTTTTAATAGATTGAGATACCACAGCAAAAAGACGATCTAGTACGATGATAAAGGATTGGGAAAGAGCATCCCCTTCAACCTGAAGATGTTTCAAAGCTATCTTCGCCCTTTCGATGTCTTGGATGTGCGTTATTGACTCAGGCGAAGAGGGGTTCCCTTTGATATGGATGACTGGAACTAGGAGAGCATGGAAAAGAGCATATCTGTTCCCTAAGGGTTAGTTGCACTCTGTAGGCAATTCAGCAATAATCCGAGAATGACACGCACAGTGTGAAAGACAAATGTAATCTGGAAGTCTGTCCTTTTATGATCCATTCTGAAATTTGTCCGATTGTGTTGCGCGCAATAGTGACGCCCTTTACACGACACTGTGCCTCCGCGGAGTACTCTTCTGCAGGAAGTGCACTGTCCTTGTCCATAGACTTAGTCTTCAGCCATTGAAGTAGAAATGGTCTATGGATGAGAAGACGTAGACTTTGGTCACATAGCGATTGGCGACGCCGAGCTGTCAAATCCCACTCTTTCACAGAGTCAACCCTGACTAGCCGTGTAAAGAAAGATGGATTCTTGCTGTGCCATTCGTTTATCATTTGCTCGAACCGCTGAATATGACCTGGAGTGATGTTGGAGCTCGACAGGAGTTGGCGGTTTATGTAGTTTGCCATACGATGATAGCTTGACTGCTTTATCAAACCAGAATATATAGTCGGTTCGTCCGTGGGTGTTGGGAAGGATAATGTTAAGGAAGTCGGATCCTGGCATGCGCTGATTAGGACGATTCTTACAAGAATTTGGGAAAACGCACCAGATCATGAGTGTTTGTGACGGGATTGACTGTCATCAATCCATCCTCTGGGAGTATGAGCGGCCGTCCATATATTTTAGCGGAGCAACTCTCCGCACAGTATGTAGCCCACCAGACACGGCGTCTAATCTCCTTGTCAAGCGCTGTAAGTTCCGGATTCGACGACTCAATGTGCAAGTCGAGAGCGACCGCCTTTCGAACAGCGGTGCCAACAAAATGCAAGCTTTCCTCGGGGCTTCCCTGCCTTTGTGCGAAGTCGCTCAAAAGTAGCAACGCTTGGATCAGGGTGATGTTCCCTTTGTCTGATAAGGGAATTTGTTGAAGTTGATGTTGTGCCTTTGCGTAGTATCCTCCCCCGCCGCCGCCGTGGTTATCGGAGGAAAGCCACGAGCCAAAGGCTAAAACCATATCAGAAAGAATTGGCCAGGATTGACAGGTTCTCGGTGGGGTTTCAAAATTTGACCGGAAGCTCGTCTCATGTACATATGGATAAATCGTGTGGTAATGTAGGAAATATCTGTCGATAAACCCTCTTTCATCCTTTTTAGACGTCACCGACCCACTAGTCAGACTCGGTTCGCTGAATATATATTCAAGAAATGGATCTTGGGCTTGGGATTCTATCCCCAGCGCTGCAAAGCTCGAGTCACCTTGAAACATCTGGTTGGTAGCGTCAAACGCACCGCCCAACACCGTAGCATCGGGGTCAAAGCGGATATCTTGAAATATTCGCTTATCGGTATCAACAGAGGTCGGAGCATCTCTGGGTGATTCATCTGCAAGTATAGAGCGAGTGATGTCTTCCATCTCTCCGCTTGGAAATAACTTTCCTAGTGCACTTTCGAGCATTTGCAGCCGGGTTTCAACTCTGGTGAGGTTTCTATGTCTGTTAGTCTACAATTTCACTTTCTCATACGGACAAAGGAGGAAGGACCTACTCGCGTGTCAATGGGGTCCGATGAACTTTGGAAGAATAGACGCATTTCCTGTTGCCTCGCATACATTGTACACACGAAGGCCGCGTTTTTGAACACTAGGGCAATGTTAATGTTGACCTTGGTGTATGATATATGACTAGTTTTCACAACCTTTGCTTTCCGCTGGCGGCATTCTATGCACTAAGCGCCTCTTGGCATTAGTTCCCACACTGAGGCGAACATATTACCGTTCAATTTGTACGTACCGCTGGAATATGAGAATTGCGCCCAATCCCTCTTGGGTCGTATGCTGACATCCTAGGTTGTTAGGTTCCAATTATTCTCCTATAGCAAACAAAAAGGATTACAACTCGGAATTTGCCGTTGTTCGGGGCCACATGGAGAAAGGTGAGCTTGGGAGGGGGTCATTTTAAGCCGTGCGGGTGTGGAGATGACCTAACCCAACACGTAAGCCCCTCCAGGGCTAACTAGTTAGAGATTACCTACATATGTAGGTACCGCGAGCATTACTCGCCGCTCATTTGAAATCCCCTAATACGTAGTCAATTTCTTCAATTCCTTCACAATATCAGTATATATCCACTTGAACGACCCCGGATTTGAATGATCCATCCTTGTTAGGCTGGCTTGGTATTAGTATGCTGCCGGAACATATTGAGTAAAAGATGTGCAAGGTGCCACGGGCTATCTATTATTGATTTTTATGTACTTTCCTGGTCGATGATAGGCACGAGATTTTATTTATAGTACATGAAGATCCTCTGAACAAGATATATTGCAGACGAGCAGAGCCGTCCCGAAATTTGAACTCCGCGCTAAAGGCGTAGTCAGTATATCCCTCCGGCATCTGTCCATACATTGCTGCCGGATCGAAGGGCGCAAGTGGGAGCCCTCGCTTGACCTTGAATGCCAAATCTGGGTTCGAGATGTATGGGCGGTCAAACGCTACAGCGACATCATGGTCTGCGTACTTGGCGTCGACGGCATTTTGAGCCAATTCGCCATTGTATATTGTAGTTACCTGCTATTAGGACGGGGCTACCATTGCCATATGCCTCAAGCAACCACTTTATACGTTCCTCCTTATCCTTGACGTCTAATTCACAAACTTGCAGATATGCCAGCTTCAGTTCAGCTAGCCTCTGGGCAACATCGGGGAATTGCCGGATCGAATCCTCCATCCGCATCCCTTGGTATCGGCTCCAGGGGCTCAGACGAATCGCGGTGGAATCACTACCAATTGCCTTAGCTACCACACAAGCCACCTCCGTGGCAAGCCTAGATCTGTTTTCTTTTTCTTCTCCCCATTTGTCGGTCAGCTGGTTGCTGACGTCTTGGATAAATTGGTCGACTAAGTATCCATTGGCACCATGGATTTCCACGCCACCAAATCCGGCCAGTATGGCATTCTCCGTAGCAGCCGTGAAGTCCGAGATGGCTTCTCGGATCCCAAGCACCGTCAATTGATTAGGTCTATGCATCTCATCGGTGAATTTACTTTTCATAGGGACGTCGCTGCTGGAGACCAAACTGTGACCCGTTCTGCCAAGAATTGCGGGTTGGCCGCGCGACCCAGGGCCCAAAGCTGCAAGAAAGATATAAGACCCGTTCTCATGAATTGCGGTCGTGACTTCCTTCCAAGCAGCGATCTTTTCGTTTCTGTAGATTCCCGGAACGTTGGCGTAACCACCGTGCCGAGGGCTGATGACGGTGACCTCGGTGACAATGTGAGATCCCGGTACGTTAGCACGCTGTTGGTAGTAACTTTTAACCGAAGGCAATGGAAGGTTCGAAACATCGGCGCGAAGCCGAGTCATCGGGGCCATGGCGATGCGCTGGTTGAGCGGCATGCCTCCGACCTTGAGAGGCGCGAATAGCTCTGACATGCTTTGAGCATTTGTCGGGGCACCAATTATCCAAAATGAGTACTAAATCGGAGTAAAATCAGATTGACGGGCCAAAAGACAAACCTTGCCCTCAGTAAAAGTATTGTGCTGTTATACTATGGGTTGGTGGCCCGGTTGAGTAGTAGGGCTTTGGCCACAAGTAAAGGTAGTGCCCCCATATGACTGGAAATGATCGAATTTTGCTGAGGAATTCGGGAGACATTACTCCGTAGCCCGTTTCTGATTACAGATTAAAAGATGGAGGGTTCGGAGGCTTGGAAATCGCGACAACGCGGGTAGCCACTGGGTGGAGCCGGAGTAGTGTCAACCGCGAGTTTGATTGGCCAATACTGTCTAGAGCAGGATACATCCATGGATGCACCCATATAGTTAGAGTAGCATACTACAACGTACGGAGCACTCCGTACATTTATATATATTTAACTGAACAGCGCCTCCTATGTCCTCCATAATATACAGACTTCAAATTCTTCAATTGCTCTTAACTATTTTCTTATTATTTCACCCGATTACTAGTTCATTTACCATGTCTATCACCGTCGGCATCGCAGGTATCACGGGCAAGTTTGCTCGCCTTGTCGGGAACCACCTATCCAAATCTCCCAATGTGCAGATTCGCGGTTTTTGCCGGAACGCCTCCAAGCTCCCCCAGCAGTTTCGTGAGTCACCCCGCGTGACTATCGTCCAAGGCGAGTCGAGCGATTTAGAGACACTTCGTTCTTTTGTCGGTGGGTGCGACGTTGTCATCTGCTGCTACCTGGGGGACAACAACTTGATGATAGAGGGTCAGAAGTTACTGGTGGATGCATGCGAGCTGGAAAACGTCGGCCGATATGTCGCCAGTGACTACTGCCTAGACTTCACCAAGCTGGAACTTGGACAGCACCCTGCTAAGGATCCCATGAAGCACGTGAAGGCGTACTTGGATGGTAAGAAGAATGTCCAGGGTGTTCACGTTCTGATCGGAGCATTTATGGAGACATTCTGGAGTGGATACTTCGGAGTTTTCGATCCTAAGGAGATCAAGTTCTCGTTCTATGGGGATGGAGATGAAATTTGGGAATCTACCACGTACCAAACTGCAGCTGAGTATGTCGCTGCCGTTGCATTGGACCAGAATGCGGTTGGACTGCAGCACTGTGAGTTTACCTCGGGAGGATTGGTCTCTTAGTGTCTTCTGAATCCTGATCCCGTACTAATTAGCCTCACTGGTGACAGTCCTCGGTGACCGCAAATCAATCAAGGAGATTGCCAAGGAATTCTCTCAGGTGTATGGTTTGGAACCTAAGCTTGAGTCCTTGGGATCGAAGCAGGACCTTTTCAATACCATGCAAGCCGTATTCAACAAAGATCCATCCAACATCTTTGCTTACCTCGCCATGTTAGTATTGCCCTAGTGTACAAACCCATGTCCTCTTTTCACACCTGCTGACAACCCCATAAGGTTCTATCAATACTACTGCATCAACGGTCAAACCTACTTGAAAAAGGATTTGGACAACAAAAAGTATCCAGAAGTCATTCCAGTCACTTTCAAGGGCTTTCTCGAATCTCACAAGCTTGAGGACCTTGCCGATTCTTATCAGAATGCTGGAACTCAGGTGTGAAAGTACATTTAGTACGCTTTCGACATTTACAACAGAGCCTTTATAGACTTTAACAAATCGATCTAATTCATTTCGTGGTTAATCCACACTTCTACAAAGTAAATCATGGCTTTCAAACGTTAAGAAATGTGTTCTTCATCCCTAATGCCCTAAGCTCGCAATGACATCCTTTTTTTGCTCTTTGTAGAGGATTTCACAATTGCTTCTTCTAGTTGTAATACAATATTTTATTGCCCAGTTCCAACAATCCGACCTGTGATATCCGACTTCAGGTTCCCATCCGCACAGGGGCATCTCATACCATGTAGCGCCTATGAACTGATGATTTCACGAAGAAAACCGATCTCAGCCCGGGAAATTTCAAGCGCTTTGTTTAACAGGCCTGGCAAGTTCCTCTAGAACGCTTTTCTTGTCAGCTTGAGAAATAGGGATGGTTGAAGAAATGTCGAAGTTGTTAAAGATATTTTAAGGAAGGGGCAGGCGCCATGTTGAGATAAATTAGTCTATCAGAAACTGTGAAATCCAAACGCCTTCATGCTTCCAAGTTCCGGTCTTCTTTGTGTCAAATTCGTAAGAGATGGTTGAAAAGCCCAAGTTGGATTCGATACAGGGCTTCGCCCATTAGGGGTGCCCTTCTTTGTTTAAGAGGGAGACTGGATCCGCCACTGCAAGGATGATTGTTTGTTCCAGTCTGTTATGTTTCTATCCATCTTTTTCATTATTTCCAAATTTAACTTATCTTCTTTCACCTATCCCCCGTGTCCACGATTTATTTCCGGCTGTGGATGAGATATTTGAGAAGCTCTATAGGATCCAAAGTACCTTTGAAAGCAGATAGAGAAGACCTTCTGTCCCCAAGTTGATGTCTTGGCCCGATTTCAAACAGAACTACTGCTGTTGGATCTTTACCCACCTGACTGGCTCGTGTACGGAGTAGACGATTTGTGTCTCTCCGTAAATCCTTAACAAAATTTGAAATTCATGCCTGTTGTACAATACGCTAAGCAGTATGCTAAATTTTGGATCGTTGGATCTTTTGCAAATATGATACTTTTGTAGTATATCAACAAAATACATGGTGGAATTGTCTAATATCTTCATACTTGGAAATGAAGCCACATCTATGGCTTCTCTTCCACCCCTGTAGATTTATCAGTCCCCCCACTATAAATAGCATTTGTAAGAGAATCATAAAGATATATAATGAGCGGTGAACGGGTTAAACTCTGGTTTCTCTCATATTTCGTTAACTGAAAGCAGGCTGAATTGAAATCTCGCTCTCCGATGCAACATGCTACGTTTTGTGTGAAGGAATAGGTGATAGAGGCGTCAAACTGCACCAATTCCGTTCATCTCGATTCCGTAGGAGTTCTAAATTCTTGGCATTGATGAACCTGGCATGTGAAGAACAAGAAGCGAGCAATGGCGTATGTAAGACGTGGCCTTTGCATAAAATCAAGTAGGCGCATGGTTGAAAGGACCCAATCCCATATTGATTATGAAGAATTAACTTAGATTTTCGACAACGTCCAGGTACACAATAGCACTCTTATAAAAGGATCGTTGCGTTCGTAAACCAATATATATAACTACCGATCCAAGATGACAGTTGAGAAACTAAAGCTCACGCCACCTAGAACATGAGTAGTCAACCACAAAAATAAAAGGGTTTCTCAGGGCATTATCTTAGCAAAAGTTATGTTTCGCCTCAAAAGACTTTTCTTGAAATACACTGGATGAGGGTGGTTGGAAGAAGCCTTGGTTAATTCTCTCACTAAATTGTTAATTCACAGGATATGGTTTAAATAGAGGCTTCCAGACGCTCCCCCCATGTGGCTCGATCACCTTCTCTGATATATGACAGCACCCAAAGATAGGAATATCACCATGAACGGCTTCCAACGATCTCAATCCTCGTCATGGTATTGCAGCACGCCTCCCGGAGTCATCATTGGCCTCGATTATGGAACATCAGGCACTGGTAGTATTACAACTATGCACATTGTAGAATGAAGAACTAGGCTGATGAATAGCTATCTAGGAGTCAGCATCTACCTAGTTGAAGGCAACACTTTCACTCAAATGCCGGACATAAAATGGCCCAACGGTGACTATCAACTGAAAGTGCCATCTAAAACAGCATACCCTACCGACAACCCATCATTCACCATGTCTTCTCCCTGCTGGGGCTTTGGCATAGAGTCTGACATGGGGGCGTACTCGTTGACAAAGCGCTTTCTTGATAGCAGCGCAGAGTCGACCGAGTTTGATGACCAGGTTCTAAGGCAAACAGACTCTCTTGGTAACCCCCAGCAGGCCCTCCATCATAATAGGAACAACCCCCCCCGGTGGATGTTGTGGCCGACTACCTATCTCATGTGTTGAACTTTGTGTGGGGGGGGTACTTCAACATGAGATAGGTATTTCACTCAACAACTTATTTGGAAGGAGGGCTGATGGTGGTGGTTGTAGTAGTGTTATCGGTTGTCACTGGAGCTTGCCGAGCGAGACGAGGTGAAACGGCATGTTCAAAGTGGCAGTGGTTATCCCAACCGTTGGCATAGGCCTCTAAGCCAGGTGCGTTGTGCACAATGATAAAATATGAGAATGGACCTTCAGCACGGGAGAGTTACATGCAGTGGCAGTCTCGTCACCCACAACTTGCATTAACGCCGCTTCGACATGAGCCAAGCAAACGTTGATAATCTCCTGGGATATTGGGGCGATCCACTGGTGCCTCATATGGAGGTAGGGTCCGCGAGAGCTTCAGCGAGGAGAAGAAAGGCCCTTGATTACGAGCAAGGTTTTATGGCTGCAGAGAGAGTATTATTATTATGTTCATCTATAGAGGGGCAGTCACCGAATTATATAGCATGTATCAATTTTCAACTCGCCGTTATGATCTATCATCCGGCTGGACTCCGAATGGCCCTCTTCCAAGGGCTTATTCGAGTTCCACACTGCTCGTTCGTACGTGCGAGTATCGTCCGTGGGAGGATTCCAGTGACCGCGTGTTGATCCCTCGCACTGAGTCTGTACGCTTTTCACTGGAAGACGCAGCTTTAGACAGTGTCAAAAGAGAGATACCCGTGAAATTGAGTAGAAAACCACATATCATTGAGATGATACTCGTCCAGTTGCTAGTGTTTAGTCCTTGGTAAAAGATAATGGAGGCGGAGAGGGTACATGTTGTAAAACCAACATAGTACATCGCATTTACTCTGTCGGTAATTGAGTATAGCATCTTTGCATTATCGGAGTTTGACAGGGGAACTTACAGCGATGCAGGGAATTGGCCCATTGCCTTATTCAAGTAGTTCATCTGGGTCAGAGTAGTCACTACCAAGACTAACGCGAAGACATAAGTGGAGGCATGGGTAAACTGATTGTCGCCGCCCGCGGTGAGCTTGACTGCAATTCCAAACGCTTTGACTGACATAACGGATATGGATCCGACCGAAGAGCAAATCGAGATATAAACCAACGGGTTTGTTCGCCCCTGTACCGGCGCGATTTTCCAGATGATGTAGATGGAAATTACAGCAACGCAAGCACAGTAGAGAAGAAAGACTAGAGATGTGTCAGTAGGCCCACAATCCAACTCTGGGAAGGGTTATTGACATGGTTGAATTGCCAGATGCAAGATCTCATCAACAGTCTCGATTTCCTTGTCGCCGGGCGCATGGAGCACCAACAACACTGAGCCTAGAAGGCAGGCAGCACATCCGAGTTTTCCAAGAACATTGATCTCTTCTGTGAGGAAATATGAGCCCATCAAGGCACTAAAAGTGATTAGCGTGACAGTCCACTAGTGAAATCCATCATCGGTCGGCCGACTCACCCAATGAGCACACTCAACGCCCCAAGCGGCGTTACCAGCACGGCGGGAGCGAATGCATAGGCCGCGGTATTCATCAATTCTCCGGTCACCACTACAATGATGGTCTATTAGCCCCTAGCGATGTCCGTCCAGTCCGATAGCCATACGCATGGTTGTTCCACACCACCACACCGGACTTCGTATGTATTCAAATCCATCTCCAGTGAAGCCATATTTCTCGGCTGCTTGTATAAGACCCTGGTAGTTTCCATGTCAGATTGGGGATGCGCTGCGATTGAAGAAACCCGGGATATTGACCAGGCGCCGAACCTTCTTAGTGACGACATAGCTTGAACCTGCTCATTGCGATGGTTAGTATGTCTATAAAGCGTCTTGAAAATGGAAAAGGCGACGCAACCAATTACTGTCGCGGATAGTATCGCCAGTGTGAGGCCAATAAATCTGGCAGGAAAAAAAGAAAAATTGTCAGCGAGGAATAACAAGGAACCGGGTATCAGGCAGCCACCGTCTGAACATACTTATCTTCTACCTTGCCCACCATTGTGGGAACCTTTTGAGGTTTGATTAAAAAGAATAAGGCATAGACTTGGACCAGGGAAGTCGGGTTGTCAAAGAACTGAGAATGAGCATATGAATCACGTCGGAGGTCTCAGCTTGCCGACTCCCAGCCGTGCGTCAGCACTAGTGCCTTTGTTAGAAGCGCTAGATCTGCTCCACTATCAGGTTACAGTGAAAATGATTGAAGGATATTGTGCCATACTACGTACAGAATATATTTAGAACAATGTGGATCGGTGATCTCCATGGGGAACCTTTCTCAAGATACGAATACGTTATACAAGCCATAAGAGCAAAGGATTAGTTACCTATGCAAAAACATTTATTAGCTACATAACTATGTAACTTAGAAGACCCCACACCATATCGTTGTCATTCTATCGTGGCCTTCATACTATAATTAAATTTTCAATTTAATTTTAAATTCAAGGCCCCATTTCACCAACTCATCCTTCCACGTCTCCCACCCTTGATATAAGGAAGGATCCCCGTTGGATGGTTTCCACTTTTTTTCTCAATTTCTTTGCCCAGGTCCTTAGCTCTTGGTTTCTAGCCGAAGAAGCCATGACCCTACTGTAGTTTACTTGTTCCAAAGGTTAAGGCCCATGGGGCCCAACGACATTCGGATCTACTTCATTCCGAATTGTAAAAGCCGACTAACTGAGTAGAGTGATGTTGGCACAAGAAAAGACCTCTGATGGAAGTAAAAGACGTCCGTTCAATTTCTTGGAGCCTTCATCACAGGCATGGTGTCTGATCTAGGCTATGACATCTTCGGGATTCAAATCGAACGATGTAAGTGAAAAGGTAATTCTCACCGAAAATTTGTTGTGGCTTCATATACGTGATGTGTATACTCTCCTTTCAAATTACGCATTGCCGAAGCTAGTGATCTATCTCAAAAACCAGCAAATGGGTCGAGACGAAATCCACATATTGCGGGATACATTTATGGCCCTATGAAGCCACCTTCTCTACATAAATTGCTTGATTAGGACGCGCCAAGTATTATAAACACCCAATTTACGGAATAGGAAGAAGAAATGGAAATTGGGTGGGGTGATAACTACATATAAAACGCGCTAACCTAGTGCGATTACCCCAACTAATAAAAGCAGCCACGGTATACGAAGTACCGAGGCTGTAGTTCCGTCATCCAGTAAAAGCACACACAAAAGTAAAAAGGTAAAGTATGGCAGTTCGGGAGCCACTCGGGTGGCTTTAAATCTGACAGGGTCTTGAAACACGAGAAGCGAAGAGGGTCACTACAACCCTACAGTGTATACTCCGTACCCACGATCTACATCAAGTAATCCAAGGTTGGCGGCATTTTGCGAGCTAATCAAGGATAAACAACAAAGTACAAGAGAAGAAAAAAAAGTATAAATATAATCATCAACATCTACTCTTCAAATGCCCATACAACCTCCCCAAACCCATTCAATCTCATAGTCCCACGATCCCCCAAAACAAAACTCAACATGTCCTTCAAGCTCCTAGTCGCCACCCTCCCAGCCCTAGCAATTGCCTGCACCGGTCCCGCAATCAATGACAATGGTCTTAATCTAATCAAAAGCTTTGAGTCGTTCCAACCAAACGTCTACGATGACGGCTTTGGCAATCCCACCCTCGGCTACGGCCATCTCTGCGGCGACTCCACATGCTCGGAAGTGACATTCTCACAGCCATTGACCGAAGAGACAGCGAGTGAGTTGCTTGCCAATGACCTAGTGGTAAGTCACTACAAGCACCCTCCCTCCCCATACTTAGAAACATTAAATTCCACTATCCATGCGGGTGCTAGGTATGTAATGAATATACTATCTAACACGTAAAACAGACCTACCAAGACGGCGTGACAAATGCCCTTGCCACTGCAGTCACCCTGAACGACAACCAGTACGCGGCACTCGTATCATGGACTTTCAACGTCGGAAACGGGAACATGCAGTCGTCCAGCCTGGTCAGCCGTATGAATGCCGGTGAAGATGTGGGAACTGTAGCGTCTGAGGAGCTACCGAAGTGGAATAAGGCAAATGGGGCGGTTGTTGCTGGGCTGACGCGCCGGCGAGCCGAGGAGGTGGAGCTGTTTGGTGAGGCCTCTCAGACCGGAGCTTTACCTGTTGGATGTTAGGTCAGGAGTCAGGGACCCAAGTCAAGTCAGCCTCCGCAGAGCACCTTCTAGAGAATTTAGGTGGCAACTCGCAATTCATACATGGCCATTTAGGAGTACCTTATATTTGTTTCTTCATGCCTGATCCCCGTTAATCGCAATGGTAGAGATATAAATACAGGTTGAGCTAGGGCTGAGATATTAGGTGCGAGACACCACCACCGACGTGTGACTCCTGTGATGATTAATCTGATGCCTATTCTAGACTGGACAACATTCCTATCCGGAGACAAGAAGAAAGAGACCAAATAAGCTAGTCGATACGCCATAAAATGACGGGACTTCTTCGTGAGTCCGACAATGTCAGATTATTTACATAACCGCCACAACCTTGGAAGCTTCAAGGGTCCTTGTAACATTCAATAAACAGAAGGGTATTTCTCTCTTCGTTGGCATCAATCTTGTCAAGCAGACAAGTCCAACAGAAGCTCCTGTCCACTGGCAAGCCTGTCCACTGGCAAGCAGGTGCACCTGTGTTTTCTTGAGCGTGCAATGCCTACCGCGACTAGTCTCACCATCCACTACCAGTGCTGCCAGTGCCGAACGTAGCATGAGCAACCCACTCGGAGGATTTAAGATCTCCTCCCAACAGTGGATGGAAGTTGATTTCACCCCTGAAACTGCAAAACAGGGATTGTGCATGCACTTCCTGCCGGCCGTATCAGAAACACCCATTTCGAAGATGGCTGACCAACTCAACCAATGGCCGTACTCCTGAGGAGACTAAATCCTAGCGAGCATACACACGAGAAGGTGTGTGCGAAGGAAGGACTTCCCACTTGTCGCACTAGTCCAGATTTCGGTCGAGTCAATCCCTATATGAGATCCGAAAATCCCATCAGCAAGAACCCATATTCCGTGTCATCTCCTGGACAGTTTCACTGGAGCGGGTATATCTGCAAGAACATCATGGACCCTTTCAGCTGGTGGATAGCGTGTCCAACGCGTGGAATAATTGAACCGCGTCAACGCGCATCAAACAATTTCTGTTTTGAGATCTTCACACAGCCACCCAATATGGCTATTGAGTGGTTTTCTGTATGACGTGTCATTATTACCAGTTTATTGAAGCAAACACGTTATATTCCACAAGGAAAGGAGAAGCGACCTCGGGTCTGTTCTGGAATCTCGGACATATGTTACTCCATTCCCATAGCTACAGACAATGCAAATAATGCAAACGTAGCAAACAGCCAAATCACCACCAGATCATCGCAATGATCACACATCAGGCTCCCTACAGAATGTATGATATTCGATTAGTAGCTTCGTTTTTATTCTTGGTACATTCTAGCAACACACTTAGCATACTTGACTCTCTTTCTTCTCTCCGTTGCCATTTACCCCCATTAAGTTCGGAATTCTTTCTCGTGGTAACGCCTCGCTAACATGGGGCCAATATCATTCGAAATCCTCTCCGACCTATACCTCGAAACTCATTCCTCGTACAGAAGCTTCAAGTTCTCACAAACTGCATTACATCTTGCCCTCCTTGGAGACATCGGTCATGTGGCCAATGATGTACTCTTCTCATTTCTAGAAGTCCAGCTAGACCGCTACTCGGTGGTTTTTTTTTCCTCTTGGGAAACCATGATCCGTATCATCTTTCCTTCAAAGTCGCAAAGGCCAAAATGCGCAGTTTTGAGGCTTCTATGAATAAAAAGTCTCCTCCCAGCAAGAACTCGCTGTCGAGTATCGTATGGTGGATTTCAAAGATATCCTTCGGCGGACTGTGGATGACCACAATGCTGCACATACCTCAGATGTCGAGTGGCTCAATGCTCAAGTTTCCACGATTTCCAAAAGCGAGCCCCTGCGGCGGATTGCGATTTTTACACATCATAGCCCAAGCATTTATTCACGGTGTATGGACCCAAAGCATATTGGCAGTGATGTTTCTACGGGATTTGCCACAGACTTAAGCCACGAGGAATGCTGGACTAATCCTGCGGTCGTAGCATGGGGATTTGGCCACACGCATTTCAACTGTGCCTTCACAGATGCGGATGGGAAAGCTGTGATATCGAACCAAAAGGGCTATCGTTTGGTTCCTGTCAAGGATTTCAATCCAGAAAGGGCATTTAGTATTGGGGAACGTGGTGGGAAGGTTTGACTTTGGAATCAACTTTAGTAATACCCCGGATAAAGGACTATGTCTTCTGAAGGCATTATTTCCAGTCCAAGCAAGCTAGAGGCATTAATATAATAAATAATGTGTCTACTAGAAGTCGACGGTTCAACGTACGCCTTCAGAGGGTGGTATGGCCTGTCCACAGTACAACGTCGAGGAAAGCGACCTGGCCCTTGCTAAACATGTTGTTCGAGATTGCCATTGCATTGGAAAGCTGACAGACGTTATTGGGGACCCGGCATTCCCATGCACGACTCCAGGGCCTGACTCGCCCGTGCCCGTGGAATGACTTGTGGTCTTACTAGTAATGAACTATTATTTTGCTCCTCTGTTTATGAAGCATTAAAAAGACTAACTTTGCATCAAACAGTTTCCTGGTCTAGCGGTTATGATTTTCCGTTAACAATTGCTCTTCAGCAAGTGTTCCGGAAAGGTTCTGGGTTCGATTCCCAGGGAAACTATTTTTTTGTTTTTGTTTTCACTCTGTTACGTACCCTTTACTCTGTTTTGTGTGGTTTTTGTTGGTAGTTGCGGCAAAGTGGCCGAGAAATATATATTGTTCACGGGTGACATGGATATATCTTGGATGGTCGACATGTTATTCAACCAAGTCATGTCTCTTCCTGGTGTATATATATATATATATATTTCAGGTGTCTTCCCGGAGATATATTCAAGGTAACAAAAATTAAAAAAACCTTACAAGGTTCAGGTAGCAGTTAATACATGTAGACACACCCCCGTCAGCTCTATGACAAAAACAGAAGCTACCTCGAGTACGGGCTGGCCACTAATCAGATAGATAATGGTATGGATTGACATGGAGGCAAAAAGAGGCTTCTGGTTGCCTGGTTGTGCAGGAAAGACATGACTTCCTAGTCATCCCCAACATGGGTGGCCCTTCACGATACTGTATACTTATCTACTGTTAGGGTCTCACCAGCGAGAACCAACAATCTCCGAAGTGATCCATCCTCCACATCTTCCCCTCCCCCTCACCACCATCCCCACAACCATTCTCCCACGCGCTCCCAGAATGTGGGTAGATCTTCCTCTACCCTGACTACTTCATGCAGTGGAGACCGTACGCGTAGGAAAACGTATGGACGGCCGCGGCTGCGGCCGCGACGACAGCGAGGCTTTCCCGAGACACTGCCAAATTTGTGTTTGGCAATTTGGTGTTTGCACAGGGCGAGCTGTCCGTTCAACTCCCGTTGCATTTGCTGTAGGCCATGGTAGGTAACCAGCATCTTGCGGAGGTCATCGAGGGCTGGCTTGCGCTTCTTCCTCGCCTTGATGGGAAAGACATGTTAGTTTCTATATAGCATATAGACTGGTTTAAGGGAAGGGTAGGCCTCACCCGCAAGGATTCATGCTCGACTGAGCGCTTTCTCTTCCGCATGCTTGAAGGCTGTCCTAAGTCAGTTTGTGCACATATATTCGTTGAAACTAGGGCAGAGACTGACCAGTGAGGGTTGTTCATACTCACTTCCGCTGGCATCCATGTTGTTTTGTATGGGGAGGCGAAGAGATATGTGAATATAATAGAAAGTAAACTAGAGGTGATATGGCAATCTTGTGTGATTTTATGCAGTGATACCGCAGGCCCTACACTTGAATATTTGAATGGCCATTGTGCTTATTATATGGGTAAACAACTTGGGATGTCATTGAGTGAACAAGGACGCCATTCTGGTCAATGAGAATTCAAATGACAATAAGAGACTGTATAAGAAAAGCCATACCTCTTGAATAACGATTCTATTGAAAAGGGATATTGTTTGCCCGGTGTGAAAAATAACCCACCCAACTTGGATTAAACAAGATCAAGAGCCATATGATAGAAAAACGAAGAACAAGTGATAGGTAAGTGAGAGATTTACTAAACAAACAATGAATATAATCTCTAGGTAAGAATAGTATGGTCAAGGGTAGCTGATGAGGCCACGGCCGAAAGACCTTGATATCGGTTTAACCAGAACCTTTTCAGGATATTATTGCTAACTCGGGATTCCGCTCTGTATACCTGATACATGGAATGGCCATGGTACAATGTCTTTGTTAAAATAGGTTTGAACATGGGTGTCTATTAATCTATGCTCTATAATATCTTATCGACTTTCCAAGGTTGCTTAATTTTATCGTGCTGCCCGCACTTGGAAACGAGGCGAGAACTTGGGGTATTTGAACTATCAGAACAAAGCCCCTAAAGATATGAACGATTGTTGGTATCTTGTCTAAATAGATCCTGTAGGTTGTGTATTGCTGTTGATCATGTCAAAAAATAATATCGCTCAATGACGCCGCCTTCTAAGTGTATGAAATGCAAGTGTAAATCCCAAACGCTGAATGACGCTGATAACCCGAAATGTAGAGAGAGAACGACCGAGAAAAAAAAAAGGCTGAAACATGACACATGTGTAGCAGCAATATGTTCAAAAATGCAAATAAATGTCTAGAAGCTGAACAGACCAGTGCGCTTCTTGCCGTATGGGTAGACAACCAAAGCGGCGATAAACAATCCGACTGTGATACCGATCGCGACTTGGATCATGCCGAAACCAAGACTGGCGACTGAAGTTTCAGAAAGAGCGCCAGTACTTGTACTGGTCCCATTGTTTGAGAGATTCTGACGAACCTCGTCGGCGTATTTGATGCCAGCGATCAAGGACCCACTAGAGGCGAGACCAGAGGGGACCAGCACAAATATACCAGGAAGAATGGCGGTGGCGGCATGGCCATGCCAGACCCGACTGTACAGATTGCCCAGGACACCGATAGTGAATGCGCCGACGGTGTTGGCGACTTCTGATTGGGTTCCGAGCTTGGTGGTACTGAAATAGTTGGCGACGTACCCGGACAAGGCGATGAAGACCATAACGGGCATCTGCTTCAATTTTCCGTGGTTCACAATGGCCAGGAAAACAGCGTAGACAGCCACGAAGGGGAATGTGCGTGCATAAACCGACCCGTAGACATCTAGGCCTGAACACGTGGATGCAGATGTCGCATTGCCATCCATCAGCCCGTAGATCGTAGTCCCCACTGTGATACCATAGCCCAAGAAGAGGGAGTAGATGATGGCATACACCATACGGATCGAACCAGCGATGATTTGGTGAGATTGCAGTTCCAGACTGCTACAAAGAACCATGAATCCAGGGAGAATCAGAGCGATAGACGACTGCGCCATAGCGGAGAAGCAGAAAAGTGGTTCGGATACACCATTGCGGGTAACCATGATGCTGCCAAACGCGCGGGCGAGGAAGGAAGTCACGATAGCAGCAGTAACCTCGAAAACGTTGGAGTACAGGGTCGACCGTGGCGCGAGGACATGTTGCATTAGCCCAACAATGCAACCGAGACAGAAGATGATGGGCATATCGATCGGTCGCGCCGTGAAAGCGAACGGGCCGACAGTTGCACTAGCAAGACCGTACACCAAGACTAAGATCCATTTGTTGAATCGGGGCTTGCGCTGCATAATCTCGTCCAATTCCTGAGTTGCCTCTTCAACACCGATGAGATCGTGAACAACATTTTTGTAAACATTGTGTGTATCAGCGAGGCGACCAAGGTCGACTCCTTGCACCATTCGCACGAGCTTGACTTCAGCCGTGCGAGTGGTAGGATCGTCAAAGGACATAATCATGCAACCGGGTAGGTATAAGAATTGGCCCGAAACCTCCAGGACCCGAGCGGTCATTTGCATGTATTCCTCCAGACGATGGGTGGGCGCACCATATCGCATAAGCGCACGGCATAGTTGCATGATGTATCGCTGACGAGCGATGATCTCAGCGATATGGACGGTGACACGGATCTCATCCTCCAGACGGGTCTTGCGCTTGCTCTTCTTCCGTTTCTTCTGCACACCGGGAGCAGCCTCCACCGCAGCCGGCAGACTGGCTGTGCTGAGGTTCATGGAGGCATTGACTAGCGAGGAGGTGGACCGATGGGCGGATTTCTTGTACCATTTGAGTTTCTCCTTGCGCGGGGTAGCGGCGCCAGAGGTTGGCAGAGACGCAGGGATAGGGGGTGATAGGGAACCCTTCTTCGGCGTGGAGATACCGGAAGACACCTGAGTGTCACTGTCAGAGTCATCCGTGAGGACACTTTCCGCGCGAGAGTAACCACCCTGGGCGGCCTGGAGCTTCAGCAGCTGCGACAAAATGCCGCTGCCGCCGCTGACTCCACTGGACCGTCTGCGCTGCGTGAAGGCGCTGAACAAGCCCTCAGGAGTTGTTTGTCCCGACCGCTGGTATGCGCCCCGAGGTTTCCGCTTCCGTAGCTGATCCTGAACCACGGTCATGCTGCGGACTAAGCGATGAGCCTCGGCGCTCGGTGGCGGTTCGATGATATTCTCCCCACTCTCCAATGCATGCGCTCGGTCGGCGTCATGGCGCGCGCGGCGGGCCTGCAGCTCCTCGAGCGGGATGCCGCCGTCAAAATCATCTGGAATGTAAGATGCGTTGAGCGGCTCGCCCTCATCCGTGGGGCGACCGAGGCGTTCGGTGAAACGGTGAGTTTTCTGTCGCAAGGTGTGCCCGGTAGCTCTGAATCGATCGCGAGCCGAGGTGGTCCGGTCCATTTTACCGAAATCATGTTTCTCTGACTCCCCGAACTGGTCTGGGGTGCGGACGTTGGCGAGGCCGGAGCCATGGCGGGAATGTGTGGGGGCTGGCGGGGTGACGGTTCCAGATAGCGGGATTTCATTCAGGTCTGGGGGCGGCAGTAACGGTCGCGACGAGGGATGTATGGCATCCTCTTCATTTCGGCGCAGACTCATCGAGCGAAAACGAACCCTATGATGGGATCGGCTGCGAGGGCGCATGGGAGGCTCAAGCCCGACATCGTATTGGGTGGCATCGACGGTGGCCTCGCGTTCGAGGCTGTGGCGATCACCGGGATTGTCAATGATTGGAAGAGGATATTCTGCATATTCTTCATTTGGACTGGGATGTGGGTTGATGATGCCCGACATGAAGGGAATTTGAGTGAGCCCCAGTGGCTCTCGGTGGGAGATTAGCCGAGAACTGCAAGCCGTAACCCGTTTATGCAAGGCACAAGGCACGAACAATAGGAAGTTACAGTTAACAAAAAGAATAGAGAATAGAAAATAGATGGAACAAATTTGAAAGGATAACAGAGTAGACTCAAAAGAAAAGAGAAAAGTTCTTGGTAAAAAGGCGAGCACAGAATTCAATGGCAAAACCAAGGAAATGCAGAATTCACGGATTCAGTTAGGGTGATAGTTAAAATAGGTTAAAAAATAGATAAAATAGATAAAAAGGACTGGAAAGGACTGAAAAGGACTGAAAAGGACTAAAAAAGAGAGTCTAGATCTTCTAGGTCTTTTTCTTTTTAAAAAATGAAATCATCGAGGACTTGATATGCTTCTAGCTATTTTCTAAGGGTGTAGGTAGATACTTCACTTTATAGGCCCAACCCTAATTACCTATTAACTTCCGATGGAACAATCCATGGATTTACCTGCACACTGACATATCCCTTCTATCATTCGAATAGAATTAATTCTAGAGTTTCTAGAGTACGTACTACCTGCACATCAGTGGCATCAGTGAGGTGGTGTGGGTCATTATTGTGGCGATCTTGTTCTGTCCAGTGGTATTGGCACCGAGCCATCCGCTATAAAATAGGGTGGTTCGTGCTTTTGAAACTCCATTCTTATACCGACTAGATATAGTGCACATAGTTCATAAATGCCTTTTTTTTTGTTTTTGTTTTCATCTTATTTTCATCTCCCTTATCGTCTGGCACACAAAATAACCCCTTAGGCCGCGTTTGGTCTGCCCAAAACGTCGATCCTGACCCACGCCTTGGGCATTCGTGATTTCGCAGCCACCTCCTGAGATAGAGTGGAGTGACAAGAATAGTCCCCTTGCAAATGCAAATCTGATGCCATTATCCACTGTGATATCAAAGAAGAGAGTACTCCGTATGGAGTAAAGGGTTGGCGAACAGACAACAAACTTATAGATAGAAGCAGGGACCCACTAAAGGACCCTCGGGATTCACGCAGAACATTACGAATCGCCGAGAGCTCATGGCCCACGCCACCCGGTGGAGTCCCAACCTTGGAAAATGGCGTAAATCTGTGCAGTTGCACATGATTCCATTTAATTTAGGGGTCGAGACCCCCTCTATCCTCTTGATCCTCTCTATCACACATGCTATCTTGTACAACATACATATGCACTAGCTCTGTTTCCAACTCTTGTTTCCCTCTTATCGGATGACTGTCGAGGTCTGACCGCTGCGGATTGTGCAGATTGGAAACGGCCCATTCACAAACCTTGAAAACCCTTATGTTGAGGTATGCCGCGCATGGACGCCACGCAGCCTAAGGGACGAGGGACAAAGAATGTGGTCCGGGCTGCCCACGGGCTTCTGTTCACCAATTAACTAGGCCTGGTCTAAGTGAAAAAAAAAAAAAAAAAAAAAAAGCAAATCTAGAGGCAGTCAAAGCTTAACTGCATAGTGC